GACAACGGGATTTCTATCGCCTCTTTCAACTAAGATTTTTTTTCTTTTTATCCAGATTAGTCAGTATTACATCTTGTGTTTTCAGCAATTAAAATATACATTGTCAGTTCTCCCCAAAGCAATGCCTTCTCTGGAAGATTACTAATTAACCTTTCTGGAAGGTTTCAGACACTGTAGTGTATAATGCCTCCTAGGGGAGCTGAAGTTCAGTTTCAGATTATCTTTCCATGTCAAAAACATGAGCTAAATTTTGATCTTTATTCTTCATTGATTTATTAATAGACAAGTTTCCATCTGACTGTTGAACATTAAAACAAAATTAACATACCATTCCTAACTATTCTCAGTCTACTGTCATTGGTTAGAGTTTAGGAGTGAAGTTAGTGCCATTTAGTAACTTCCTCAAAGATGTGCCTTCTTCTATTTCTATTTTTTTTATTGAGTTAATGATAGGTTACAATCTTGCGAAATTTCAGTTGTACGTTAATGTTTGTCATTCATGTTGTAGGTGCACCACTTCACCCTTTGTGCCCACCCCCCACCCCACCTTTCCCCTGGTGTCCACTAATCTGTTCTCCTAGTCCACATTTTTAAATTCCTCATATGAGAGGAGTCATACACAGATTATCCTTCTCTAGCTGGCTTATTTCACTTAACATAATTCCCTCAAGGTCCATCCATGTTATCGCAAATGGAATGATTTTGTTCTGTTTTGCAGCTGAGTAGTATTCCATTGTATATATGTACCACAAAAGATGTGCCTTCTTGAGTGAGTGAACGCGCCTTTTTTCATAATGGCTCCTCAACATTCAAAATACAAATTCTTACCTTTGGTTTATATATTACTGAAGGTTTGGGTTTTAACACTCAAAGCAGCTTAGGCTACAGTTTTCTCATATTGGTGAATTTATTTTAATCTCTGAAACCATCTTTTAATTAGACATTTCTATAGCATTTAAAGATAGCTTGATTTGGGGGATATCAGTTAAGATACTCATGGCATAGTAGCAAATAAAATTAGGAGTCAGATTAGCCCTCGTTTTCATGATCCTTAGCAAGTTTAATTAAAAAATCTGATAAAATAATAACGGCAATGAACATTTAAATAATAGCACTGTGCCAGGGCCTACTCTAAGCCCTTTACAGTTATTAACTTAATCCTTGAAATACCAAGTAGGAAACCGAGGCACAGAAAGGTTTCTAACTTGCCCTGTATCACACAGCTAGTGGTGGAGCTAGTATAGAAACCCATACCGTTATGTTGTTGGTGCCAGAGCCCACACACTTAGTCATTGTGCTCTCCTGCCTCTCACGGTGTGGGGGGAGGGGGGGAGGGGAAGTACTATGCAGTCACACCTCCCATTGAAAGCTAATCTCTCCATTTGCACTCTGTAGTATATTCCCTTCTGTCTTCCAAGAGTCTTGCTTTTTTAAGTATCTTTTCCCTCTTTCTTCAATCTTCAACATTCTTTGGAGTAGAAGAATGAAACAGTATTGCCACTATTTTTATTTCTAACATAATACCGGCCTTCCACAACAATTTTGATGTTAAATCTTTGCCTGTCTGAAAACAAGGAACTCCTCCCTTCCACCTGGGACCCTCTCTCATCCCCTTGAGTTGCCTCCGTTCTGCCTCCCGTTCCTCAGCCAGTTCCAGTCTAGCACTCAAGCTCCTTGATGCCAGTAACACGGCTCTCACCAGTCACCCCTGACCTGTTTATTAATTCCAGCATACATTTTAGTCTTTATTTTCACTTGTCTTTGGGAAGCCTGTAACTTGGCTGCCCGCCCTCTCCATGAACTCTTTTGACCTTGGCTTTGTGACATCCTCCAGCCAGGCTTTCCTTCTTACCTCTCTGGCCCTTCCTCCCCAGTCTCCTCAGGTTTCTATTTGACTGTCTGTCTCAGGGATTTGCTGTGCTCTCACTACCCAGTTGCTCTAGGTTTTTTCATCCATGTGTGTGGCTTCTTTTTTTTCATATGTAGATGGTTTGCAAATTTCCAGTCCAGAGGTCTCTCCTGAGCCTCAGATTCACATTGTTAGGTGCCATAGTTTACCTCACTTGCATAGCTTGCAAGCTACCTCACAAGTAAAAATGTAACTACCACCCTTTACACAGAGAGAGAGACACACACACAATCCACTTCATCTCCTGTGTTTTCTTTCTTAGGGAATGGTTTCACCGTATACCCAGCTGCCCAAAGCAGAAATCATTTTCAGACACTTTCGTCTCCTTCAGTAACTCCAGTTCCTCCCTATCTCCCCTGTCAGGTGCCATTATTTTAGTTCAGGCCACCACGTCCTCTAATGGACTACTCCTGTAACCTCCAGACGGTCTCTCTGCTTCAAGTTCTGCCCCATACAACCCACAGTGATCTTCCTAAAGGGCGACCTGGTCACTCTCAGTGAAGTCACTTTGAGTGTCTTCACTTTGCATTTAGGACGGGGTCCAGACTCCCCTTGGCTGGGACTCACCCTACCCATCCCTCCAGCTTCATCCTTTGCCACTTTGTCTCTCCCTAGTAAGTTCCAGCCAACTGTAACTGAAAGTTCGAGTTCTTTAAGTTTATTGAAAGGGAAATATATGCTCTCTCCCACCCTAGGCCTTTGTGCTTTTTTTTTCCTTCTCCTGGAATATTTACCAATACTCCCATTTATCTGGCTAATGTCTACTAATTTTTTTCAGCTCCCAGCTTCAGTATAACCACTTCTGGGACATCTTTACTGACTACCCTGCCCCCTGGCCAGGCAAGGTCAGATATCCCTGCTATGTATACAATGCTACATATATTAGCATAGCAGGGATATATATAAAAATACTATATGATACATAAAATCATATATATATAAATTATATATATATATACATGTCATGGCATTTCTGAGACTTTACTGTAATCGTAGAGGTGGCAGATTGTTAATGCTCTCTATTGTCTGTCTCCCCAGTAGAGGGCATAGTGCCTGGCACACAGAAGGTGAGCAGTACATATTTGTTAAGTGAGAACATACTACCTCCTAGAATGGCACATTCTTTAAGCACCTCATTACTTAGAAGGTTCTTCTTTCAACTGAGCAGCACCTTATCACTCCTATTTATTGGTTCTGGTTCTATATCCAGGGAACACACAGAGCAACCTTTAGACTATCTTCAGGTGAATTAAGGAATGTGCTCTGGGCTTCTGTTTCACACAGTGTGATGCTGAGAACTGAACACTCCTCTAGGTGTGGTCTGCCCTCAGGGTAGAGTAGGCCCATTGCTGTACTCATTTGACAGGCTATCCTTGTAATAAAGTAGCTTGAGATCATGTGTGCTTTCATTCCACTACTGAGTCATACTGACAAACTCTCTAAGTTCTTTTTGAAAAACCCGTTGCTGGGGGCCTGCCTGTTGGTATAGAGGTTAAGTTCACCTGCTCCGCTTCTGCAGCCCAGGGTTCATGGGTTCAGGTTCCGGGCGCAGACCTACATACTGCTCATCAAGCGACAATCTTCCTCAAGCAAAAAGAGGAAGATTGGCAGCAGATGTTAGCTCAGTGCCAATCTTCCTCACCAAAAACAAAAACAAAAACAAAAGCTGTTGTTTCCAGGAAGTATCTGCATGTGCATTTGGTTTTTGGATACAAGTTCAGGATCCTACATTTCTTGCTAAACTCATCCAAGTCGATCTGACACATTATTGCCAATTGGCTAATTTGTGGGGAGATTATAATCCTGTCAGTAAATTTGTTATTTTACTCAATTTCATGGCATCTACAAATTTGTAAATAAACCTTACTAGCTGTGCAATCATAGACAAAGTATATAACCGCTTCAGGCCTGCTTCTTCATCTGTGGATGGGGCTGAGAATAAGATTAGGGTTGCTGTGAGGAAGAAATGTGGAAATGTTCACAAAACACATGGTGCGATTCTTGGGGACATTACATGGACTCAGTGTACTTTAGCACTTATTATTTATTCATACCTTTCATATCAAAGTTAAACAGGGCAGATAACGACAGATGCCAGAGTCACACCACTCAAACCACCCTCCTAGGTGTGTATATTCATCAATAATGGTCTCATGTAGTTTTTATTTTGCCCACAAGGACATATTAGAGAATTTTTAAAATGCCTTTCTCAAATACACTGTCTCCGATATTTCCTAGGTTATTTATTTACCTAATACTCCTCAACTCTCAAAAGAATTCAGTTGTCCTGATTTGTTCTTAGTGATCCATACAAACAACTGTTTTCCAGGACACTGAGTACTACCCTATTTCTTTTTAAAATCTCAAAATAGCTAAACAATGAATTCTACCTGCTGAGTAAGAGCACATGAAGTGATTTATTGATACTGGTTAAGATCCATTATATACAGGTAGAAACTTTCAAAATTGTACAGAGAACCATTAAGAATATTGATAAAGACAGTTTTATAGACAAAACAACAACTGGACAATAGTGTTAACATACACAACCATATAATTATGCAAAAAACATAGAACACAAATTGTCCTACCAAATAGATTCCAAGCTTATTAAAAGTCCACTATGCAAACCTTAAGTTGAAAAATGTGTTCAATGGGGTTACATGGTTTAAAAAAATTAAGTATAATGTAAAAATTAAGCTTTTTCCCTCACTGCAAATGGGAGAGGAACCAGGACAACTTTTTACCCCAAATCTATACATTTCGAAAAATAATTTATATGTCTAGCACAAAGAAAGAAAATTGAGAATGTTTACAGTTCTGTAAACTCTGCCTTTCATGAAATGCCAACTGCATCAGTTTTAACAGTTAAAAATTGTGCAATCAGAAATAGACTGTTCCCTTTACGGTACAACAGTACCTTCACTGGCTTTATACCTGAGCACCAAAGCTGAGTTCTAAAGGCCGTCTCGGAGAGCTATTCTGAAAATGAGCAGGAAATCAAAGCTAGCCTGTTACCACCTGGAGAATGAGGCACCAAGGAGGAGAGCATCTCCTTAGAAATGCAACAGCAGCAAGAGAGAAGGTGCAGTTAATTGAGCAGCTGGCAGATCTCCTTGTGGACACAGCAAAGGAAATCCACATAAGAGGATCCTCCGTAAAGTCCTTTGTCTTCTACCAGGAACTGTCGGAAAACCATTTCTGGCTGTTCACGCTGCTTTACTATCGTGAGCTAGGGAAAAAAGAACAAGGTAGCGGGTTATAAACATTCTCTGACGGTGACTCAATTTTGTATGCTTCAGTTTCACCAAAATTACAGAATGTCCACTGAATGTGAGGCCTTGGAGGATGACGGGAAAGTGCCTATTACCCAGAGTGGAGGGAGGCACTGACCCCAAACCTACAAAAACCAAGATGTATAATGATAAATGGCAACAATGAAACGTAGGCAGAGGGCTATGGGAAAGGCATCCCAAGGGTGGTGACTAGCACTGAGCCTTAGAGGACAGGGTAGGAGTTCCTTAAGAATGGGGGTGAGGGTAGAGAACATTCCATACCTGGGAACCACGCGCCATGTGCCAAAGACAGTCACGGTTGGCATGTAAATTAGCACAGGCTTCTAAAAGTCAGTGGGAGGTTAGGGACAAATGACAGTAATAATGAGTTTGGGCTTTTGTAGGAAACGTGACCCAGTGAAGGTGCCCCAGAAGAATTGGGAGCAGCAGACAGAATGTACTGGTGAAGGAGGAAACCAGGTAGGAAGCAGTTGGAAGCGGGTCGGTGGGCGATGATCAGAGGCCAGGTTAGCGTAGTGTGGGTGGAAGAGGGGGTGGTTTGAGAGGCAGCGCAGAGGTGGACGGCCAAGGGAACTCTGTTCCTTGCACATCGAGCTGCTCTAGGGCTGTGCTGTTGATGCTACAGCCCCCAGCCCCAGGTGGCTACTGAACACTTGAGTCGAGGCTAGTCCGAATTGGGCTGTGCCATAAACGTAAAAGACATGATGGGTTTCTAAGACTTAGTGTGAAAAAGAAAACGTAAAACTCAGTCATTGGTTATACTGATGACATGGGGAAATCTTAATATTTTGGATAAACTGGGTTAATAAAATATATTATTAAAATGAGTTTTTTGTTCTAAATGTGGCTACTAGAGAGTGTAGAATTACACAGGCGCTTGCCTTCCTGGCCAGTGCCGCACTAGGGAAGACACGCCCGGGGAAGAGGCCTGGGAGGGGGCCGTTCTGTCTTGAACTCTCTGAGCCCTCTGGCGGCCCCGTTCCTCACTCCTTGTCAGGAAGTCACAGCAGATGATCAGCACGGTAGAATTTCAGAGCTCCTCAGCCATGAGTGCGGTTAATGGAGCCCCACATGCACAACAGCGTCTCTGCACCTGCCTCCTGTATAACTAAGAGAAGCCAGCGCGTCCCCCACTCGCTCCCCCGTCCTGAAGCTACCGCAGGGCCTGCCATCACTAGCGTCGCCAGCTGCAGCAGAGGGGAAGCTATGGTACATTTTGGCTGCGAGGGCCCAGCCCTCCCTACTTTTGCTTTATATGCTTTTTAGTTATCAAATGGAATAATTTTGTCAACACAGCTTGCTTTTTGTCCTTTATTTTGGCCTAGGCCCTAGGCTGATAAGCTTTAAACTACCTCTGACCTAATAAAAATAATATAACAACATTAACAACCACCACTGCTGCTACCACTGCAACTCAGCTAATTCCACGTGGACTCGGACATGTGTGATGTCTTGGCTTTCGGATGCTAGGCACTGAGAGGTGACACGAGGACAGCTGTGTGGATCAGCACATTCCTCTCTGACGTGGGGAAGCACAATAACTCCTTAATGGAAACTTCTCCAAAGGAGTTTGAGGCTCGCATGCCGGTGAGCCTGAAGCCAAGGCTATTTTCTTTTTACTTGGGTTATATCCACCTTCTCCCACATGCCACTAGGACTCTGCCATTGTCCATTGTGGGCAACAGCAGTGTGGGTCTGCCCTCCACGATACAACTCAGGCTGAGATGGGACAGAATGAGATATTGTGGATGGAAGGATTTGAGGCTCCAATTCCTTTAGAATGTAGTTCCTCCGTGGAAATTAATGGGAGGAAGTTCATATTGCTCATCTGTGGGCTTTCTAGTGCTGCCGTTCACTTGGGCTATTTTTTGGCTTTCATGTGGTGCTCACTGTAAAACCTCCTCTGATGAAGTGTGTTTGGCCATGATCTAAGGTGAGAAATAGCATAGGGAATGAATTTTCAGCCTTGGGAGAAATGTGTAGATTTTAGATTTTCAAATTCTTTATGGAGATGGTACCCTGAAAATGTCAAAGAGATCTTACAAACAACAGATAAATTTGCAAGTGGCACATAAGAAAATCTGATTCTTTAAGTATTTAAGCTGAAATTTTTTTGCCATGCAACTGCTTATATTTTATTCACATGCCATATTCGGAGCTTACGCCAGATGTTTTAATAACCAGAGCTAACATGACCTTGATAGGCAGTTACTGGAGCAGGTGGGAAAAAGCAGAGGAGAAGGTGGAGGGAGAACTGAGCACAGGGATGGCCTCCAGGTTTAGTCTGGCCTCCTCTCTGCAAATGGGGCCAGTTGTGGAGACGCAGTTGCTGCCACTGGTATAGAGATGGATTATCATTGCTATTCATTCTGAATACCAGTGGTCCTCAATTTGTGTTTCATGAGACCCTAAGATTTGATTACGTATCTCCCAGGTGTTCAGAGAGTGTCACGTGAAGAACGTGTTTAGTTCTCAGCCATCTCTAGGTCCTGCCCTAAAACTGAACCCAAGTAGGTGCTGTGTGGTGTGAAAGCAATTCTGGAAAGGTTCTATGTTCACCCAGACGTCCTACAGATTGTAAAGCTCTTCATTAGTTCAGTTCACCTAAGCTCTACCTAAAGTGGATACTTGCATGCCTGAGTATCTTTCACGGTTAAGAATGTTGATAGACTGGTACCACATTTACGGTTCAGGGGAAAATTGGCCCCATAATATCTTGGCCCTTGTCAAGGCCTGTGTCCAGGTCACGGTCCTATCCCTCTGTGGGAAGTAGCACAGTAAGAGACCATCATCATCTGTACATCCCAAATTCCACGGAACTCTAACAGTGAGCTTGGGAAGGAAGACAGGCGAGTAGCTGGGACTGAGCAACAAGGCACGATTTTCCTGAGTCACAGACATTTTAAATTCTATTACTCCAACTTGGAAAAGGCTTAGAAGGCTTAGAAAGACTAGGATAACAAAACTTTTCAGAGATAATAAATCAAAAGCTGTAAAAATCAAGATTAACAAATGTTCTGATACTTCTAAATTAATTTTAAGCACTGAAGGGTAAGTCATTTCCAAGCCTGTTAATGATATCTATTACTACTAAACCATAAAGAGGCTCTTCCTGATTACTAAATTAACACTTACTAAGATAACCCATGGTTAATCTGTGGTGATAGCTGTTTATCTTTTCATGTTTGTGATTGCTAAGTAACTAGATAGAGGTTAATGTGAGCTTTCTGTCAAAGATCATGTTATAAAAATACAGGACTTGTATTTTAAAATCTGTAACGAATTTTTTTAAAAAAACACTTGAAGAAAGAAAGAAATAAAATCTCCTTTTTACCTTCATTGAATATGGCCTCTTTTGTTGGATAATACTCATTATCATTCTGAGCGTTTGAGAGTACGGGCTTCCCACCTCAGGCAGTAACGTCTACATTTAAGAAAATCAAAATTTAAGTTTCAATACAATTTATAACATTTAGATAGAAGAAGCAATGAGATTATTAGAATGTTAAAGTTAAAAAAACATCCTTTTAAGCCATATACTTGACTATTGGCTTAGTTCATTTACCTAAAAACCAAAAAGGTGGGAAAATGCACTAAAAATTATTCATTCGTATTGGAATACATTTCTACCAGTGATCTGTCTTTTGAAAGTAAGACTCCTTCTCTGGAATTTGACACATGTATGTCACTGAAATGACACAACCTCTATATGTCTTATGCAAAGGATGTCTTTGGACCATTCACCAAGACGTTTAATCCCTTTGCAGGGTGGATATTTGAAGGCTCTGTTGGGAGAGAAAAGGATGTACTTTATTCCTTCAGTAGATAGCTGCAGGACCCTGAGGCATTATCACATTTGGAAAATGCCATCCAAATACCACTGGCCCTATGTTGAAACCACCCACCAAATGCTGATTTCTCCAGGGGAATATAGTCTCTCAGATTTCCCTGAAATCTGGTTAATGGTCTACAAAACTCTCCAGGTGCACGTGGCCTCTGGGGGACGTGAAGGCTCTGGGCTTCGATTTCTTCCATTAAGACAGTAAAATGCTAACGCTTCCTTCTCAGCAAGAAGACACCAAGAGTTAACACATCCTCTGTGAGTTAGCCATTGAAAAGGTGAGTTAGAGCATTTTACCAGTCACAAGTCTCAGGAAAAGATCATGACCAGTATTTTTCACAGGAGTTGTTAAAAAAAGAGCAGGAAATTCATCATTTGTGTTCACATTCCATTCCCTGTGTGTATTCTTTGACATGAAAGTAGAATTTTTTATTCAACAAATAACATAAGTATACTTCATGCACATGTCTCGAAGTGCCAACTGCCTCTAAAAAGAAAGCAACATTTGGTTTTCCTTCTGTTGTATCTTTTCAAGAAGGCTGAGAAGAGGTATGCTGACAGAAGCACACACCTGCGGATCAGCTGCGGTGTGGTGGAGAGACTGGGGCTTTATACATATATTCACTTCAGCAAATATGCACTGAACGTTTACTTCAACAATACATTGTGAAATAACAGGAGGTTTCCTTAAATTTTATATAAACATTCTTCAGGCTCATAGCTCTTTGCCTATTGAATTTTAATTTTTTAAAAATTGCATTTCTAATCATCCCTTAATTTCAGCCACATGCAGACATCTTACTATTTCTAAATCTTCATCCTCATCTTAAAACTAGTCTCCTAATAGGATATGGACACCTTTCATTCCTTTAAACATGTACTGTTGGGGCTGGCCCCGTGGCCGAGTGGTTAAGTTCACTTGCTCTGCTGCTGCGGCGGTCCAGGGTTTCACTGGTTCGGATCCTGGGCATGCACATGGCACTGCTCATCAGGCCATGTTGAGGTGGCGTCCCACATGCCACAACTAGAAGGACCCACAACTAAAATATACAACTATATATTGGGGGGATCTGGAGAGAAAAAGCAGAAAGAAAAAAAAAAGATTGGCAACAGTTGTTAGCTCAGGTGCCAGTCTTCAAAAACAAAAAACAAAATATCTATACATACTGTTGACATTCATATGAATGTGCAGCTCTCTAAACTTACCGCCTGCCCATCTGGCCTGGAATTTTAATCCTGCCCCTTCCTCCAAGAAGCTATGTATCTACCCTCACACCAGAAACTGGGGAATTAACTAGCCTGAAGCCATCTTGCCATAACATAAGTGAGGCCTCAGGGAACAAACTATCTGCTGAGTTCTACAAGTGAATTCATAAGGAATCCGCCATCCAGCAGCATAAGACAATAACCATCAGATCAATGGGGTTCCTGCCACCATCGTCTGCAAATAAGGTCTGCAGTAAGTGTTGACTCCGGAACAAATTCTAATTGCTGGTTTTTCCTACTATACTTTAAAAATAAAGTCATTTCTATTCATTCCACATCAAACCCACAATGCTTTGGTAATGATTGCAAGAGGGGGGTATATAATCTGTTTCTGTGGGGTGATTATTTTGTAAGTCAGTGATCTGACCTAGTCTGTAGCTGTACATGGATGGAAGAGTTCTGTATGCCTTTGACTCTGCGCCTCAGCAGCAGGGATGAGCCCGGAGCATAAGAACTGAGGGATGAGCCCGGAGCATAAGAACTGAGTTCAGTTCCCACTCCTGCCTCTTACGGCCTGGAAGAACTTGCCTCCAAGCCTCAAGTGGTTCCTCTGTGAGATCTTGATAACAATACCCTTCTCACTGATTCGTCAGGAGGGTGAAATGAAATGGGATATTTAAAGTATTTAGAGCACGGTGACTGACACACAGTCAATGATCCAGAAGTGCTGGCATTCTCTATTAAAGTCATATATATATATTTATTTTTTTGTGAGAAAGACTGTCGCTGAGCTAACATCTGTGCCAATCTCCCTCTACTTTATGTGGGATGCCACCATAGCGTGACTTGATGAGAGGTGCTAGGTCCACTCCCAGGATGTGAACCTGTGAACCCTGGGCCACCGAAGAAGAGTGTGTGAACTTAACCAGTACGCCACTGGGCCGGCCCCTGTATTAAAGCCGCATATTTTGGTTGTTTGATAATACTTTATACAAATAACTTTATACCAGCTCATTGTTACTCACTAAAACATGAGATTCTCTCATTCTTACACAGGACTATATGCCTTATTGTTTTTTCTTCTTTGTAATACATGAGCAAAAAGCATAAGAATTTTTTGTTTGTATATTACCACAAAAACAACGAAAAAAATACTTACCATATCTGTGTTGACATGTGCAAAAGATGGCACATTAAATATTCCTTGGATCAGTTCTGGTGGGCTGCTGACTCCCAACCATAAGAACATGTTCAGACCGTTGGCCAACAGGAATACTCCTTCTTCTGAGAGCCGGGACTCAGAGCAGCGAATCGCAGTAGGCAACGCCGTACTCTTGACGTCTAACGTGTGCTGTGCAGGCAAAGGCACGAGGGTCAGAAATTCCATCCTTCCTGCCCTCCTTCCTTCCTCTCTCTTCTTTTCCTTCCTCTTCCCTCCCTCCCGCCTTTCCTTCCTTCTAGCGTACATTTAATGAGTGCCTGCTGTGTGCTAGGCATTGTTCTAGTCAATCATCCCTGCCTTGTTCAGTTTTTTTGGAGGGAAGAAGAGACAATGAATAAGTAAAATAGACAGAATTTTGGATGTTGTTAAGTGCTATGAAGAAAAGAAGCAGGAAAGTGGGGTGGGGCATGTCAGTGGTGGTGGTGGTACAGTTTTAAATAGTGATGCCCAGGAAGGCTTGTTGAGAAGTTAACTTTTGAGTAAAGACCTGGAAAGATGAGAAGGAACCATGGGGTTATCTAGGGAGGAGCATTCCAGATGGAGGGACCAGTTGGTGCAAAGGTCCTGAGGTAAGAGCCTGTCTGGGATGTTCAAGGGTCAGCAGGGAGGCCGGTGTGACTGGAGTGGAGTGAGCAAGGGGAGAGTAATGAAAGATGACGTCAGACAGAAAGGAGGGGAGGAGAGTGCAGATAGCACGGGGCCAGGGCGGGAGGAACTCTGACTTTGACTGAAATGGAAATCCTGGAGTGTTCTGAGTAGAGGAGGGACATGAGCTGACAATTATTTTAACAAGATCACTCTAACTGCTGTGCCAAAAACAGACTGGAGAGGCAAAGGAGCAAGCAAGGAGACTGGCTGGAGGCTGTTGCAATCGTCCGCAGGAGGGACGATTATGCTTGAATCTGGGTGATGACAGATGAGCGGGTGAAAAGTGGTTGGACTCTGGATATTCTTGGAAAAGAGAGCTGACATGTTTGCTGATGGATGAGATGTGGCGGATGAGAGGAAGAAAGCAGTCAAGGGTAACTGCAAGATTTTCGGTCTAAAGAATTGGAAGGAAGGAGTAGTGATAAATGGAGGGGGAAAAGCCTGCCGGAGAAGCAGGGCTTGGTTTAAGATGCCCCTTACACACCCATGGGGAGATGCTCAGGAGGCTACAGGGACAGACACATCTAGAGTTCAGGCAGAGGTACGGCTGGAGGTATGAACTTGGGAATCAGCAGTGTATCAGCGTCCCTGAGAGCCATGAGGACAGATAAGACCCCCAAGGGACTGAGTGCAGAGGGATAAGAGGGGCTTCCCAGGGACTGAGCCCCGGGGTACTCCGACAGGGAAAACAGGGTAAACTAGCAAAGGCAGCAGAAGAAGCCAGGGAAGCAGGAGAGAAAGCAGGAGAAGCCAAATGAAGAAGGTGTTTCTAGAGGGAGAAGTCAGCTGTGTAAGAGGCTGTCGCCAGATCAGAACAGGGAAGGACCGAGAACTGCCCACTGGATTGAGCAATATGCTGGTCAGCGGTGACCCTGGCAAAGGAATTTGAGTGCAGTAGTGATGTTCTTGACCCTTAGAGTTCTGGTTTCTCTGGTGTATAGATTTAATAATCCAATTTGACCTGAAATCAGTCATTTGTAATAACTTACACCTAACATTCATAGTGATTGAAAGAATCAATAGCTTTTTTATTTCTAACCTAATTTAACTCTTTCTAATACTGATTGCACTCTTACTGAGAGCCTGAGTATGAATTTGAATACAGGAATTAGAAATAAGCCATTAGTTTTCCCTGTTCTTATCCCTCAATTCTAACTTGTTAGGTCTCAAGGGAAAAAAACCTAATCACACAGTACAGGGGAATGCAAGACATGAAGGACTGGTTTCGAACGAGCAGAATACATGCCAAGTAAATTCTCTGAGGGCCAGGGCAGCAGGTCCCTTGTGCAGTGGAGGCATCCTCAAACATACACTGCTGGTTAACCCCTGACTGCATTTGGTCAAGGCTAATCGTAGCCATTCTGATTAAATGTGGTGACTCTCAGACATTCGTACATCGTATAAAGACACATAAATACATGCATGCACATGGGATCCCATTTGCACACACATCAGCTCCTTTAATGCTATGAGGTAGATTTCTTCAACAATCGAAGCTTGGCTTGCTCCAACTTGTCTACTGACCTGTCAATATGCCGCCTCAGTTGAAGAGTACCAATTTGGGAACGAGGGAAGAAAAGCATTCATCTGAACAATGAAGTAGGAACTCCTCAAATCCTGCTCCCGCCTCCGCCCCCCACACTCTGCACGTGGTGACACAGATAGGCAACGTACTCAGAGCGCCTGTCCTCAGTCCCACACTACACATTCTGAAGGCGTTCGTGACTAAATTTCTTCTTAAGAACAAAATGTTTCAGATATAACATATGGCAAAGGACAAAATATGATTGCCTCGCAGACTCCTCCGGGAAACGCACCACCACCATGTGCTTACTATTGGCAGAAGCTGTGGGTAGAAGAAAAGCTGAGAGTCGGCCACACCCATGGTCATGACCAGCTGTCTCTGGTATGCCCGCTCATCTGTTGAGATCTCTGGCCTGCTGAGCAGCACACAGTTTTTTAACAAACAATTCATGTACACGGGCAATACTTTCATGGAATCTGGTAGAATAAGCTGTAAAAAGAAAGATATTTGTTTCAGGTGCTTGGGCTTTACTAAGAAAGACCTGCCGAGCTTTATCTGTGAGATGGAAACATCACTTGATTTTGAGGTCCTTGTGAGGTTTAAATGGCAATCCATGCAAAGCACAGAAACTGGCACAGAGTAGGTATCCCAAGAACGATGGTTGGTTTTATTCATCTAGCGCTGCAGGAGCTTGATGCAGTGGTGATCAGCAACCCCCACCTAGGGTGCAATCCCAGCTCTGCCTCTTACTAGGGGTGTGACCCTGAGCAAATTACCTATTCTCTTTTCCTTGGAATAATAGCGCACCGACTTCACGATCATGGGGCTGTTATGACGGTTAAATGATTATTAATTTTGAAGCACTTAAAATAGTGCCTAGCACAGAGTATCATATACATGTTTATTACATAAAATGAACTAAGTGATTTCCTAATCTGTATTACTGAATTCTACCTCTTGAGTTCAAGCATTTCCAACTTCCCATGAGCTATCTCTTCCTTTATTCTCTTTATGCATCTTAAACTCACACAGTTAGTCATGAACTCATCAAATACTTATTAAACGCCACTATGTCACAGGTTCTGTGCAAAGTGTCGAGGACGTACAGTCCTGGGCCGCACAATGACATTTCAGGGAAGGACGGGCTGCATATAGGACAGTGGTCCCATAAGATCAGTAGCATACAGCCTAGGTGTGTAGTAGGCTACACCATCTAGGTTTGTGTAAGCACACGCTATGATATTCGTACAATGATGAATCGCCTACCAACACATTTCTCAGAATGTAGCCCCATTGTTAAGCGATGCACAACTACAGAGGAATGAGGCATAGTCCACGTCACAAGGTACCTGAAGTCTGTTAGGGATGATAGACATACAAACAGGTAAAACATGATACGGAGATTGTGGTACTACAGATACAAATGAAAACAGGAAATGCTTCATGAATTTAGATGTATCACTACTGAATAAGGCAAAATAAAACTCCTACAATTCCACATATATGTTTTTCCTCTTATGTTTCCTATTTTAGATACTGGAACCAGCAGATGAAACTGAAGTTCATTTTCTTTACTCTCCATTAGTAAATGAATTCTTTCAATTCTACCTTAATAATCCACCTGTACCCTCCTCTCCATCCTCACTTTGGCTCACATGACCTCATTCTAGCTACCTCAAAGGACATACTTTGTAATGTGATGCTGCAAATAAACACAATGCAGCAATTCTAGAAACACAACCTGATGAGTAATAAATTACAAATAATTTGCCTGTGTTAACCTTCTCCCAACTCAATTTTATAAAAATGGCTAAAAAACAAGATTGACCAATCTGAGTATCACTTCCTTCCATTTATCAGTAGGTCAATGGACAGGGAAATATCCATAATATGTAGATCCATAATCCAGAATACATAATCCAGAATACAGAGGAGATAATGATAATTTGTAAACAGAAATATCTGGTCTATAAATTCGTGATTTCTTTTTAGCTTTCTATCTTAATGATGAAAAAGAATATATAGCCATGTGTCGTTTAATGACAGGGATACGTTCTGACAAATGTGTTGTTAGGCAATGTCGTCACTGTGTGAACATCATAGTGTCCTTACACAAACCTAGATGGTACAGCCTCCTACATGCCTAGGCTAGACGGTGCCAATCTTATGGGACCACCTTCCTATATGCAGTCCGTTGTTGACCAAAACGTCATTATAGGCTACATGGCTGTACATTTATCAGAATCCACACTGAAAAGAAAATTTCCCTCGGGGCTCTTTTAACATTTACTCTTCAACTCAAATCCCTTTACGTCCTACGTCTCTTCTCATGACCTACTACGTTGAGTCATGTGTAAGGCAGACCTTTCTAACTGGTTCAGGCAAACATATTTCAGAATTCTACTTTGTAGTTTATTTCCCTTATCAACTTCTAATCTCCTTTCAAAGAACCAAAGACAGTTAAATACACGTTTCCTCCTATGAGTAGAACACTCTCTTATAATTTTTTCTCTAGCATAAAATATTTTTATTTGATAACCTTTGATACTGGATTACTTTTTCAACCAAGGAAAATCATGATCCAAAGATGGAGGAGCCAGATCATGGTCATCCTCCAGAGCCAAACAGCCTGGATGCTACTTCTAAGCTAGTTAAGTAGTTAGGCCTCTCACACATTATGAATGAAGAACGTTTTCCATTCCCACATAGAAGCACGCATACTAAACCTATTACTTTGCAGGTAAGTCATTTGACTTGCATTTCTGAAATCGCTATACTTCCAAATAACGTAGTACATTTAAATTCAGAACAGTGAGCTATTAGATTTAATAAAAAGAATCTACTTTGCTTATGTGAGCTTAAAAAACTGTTTTAATGTTGTTTGTAGTTATATGTCTTAACCCAGCATATGACCCCCAGAGTTTAGTGCCTCCTTACACTCTGAGGGGTCACACGCTGGGTTACACTCCTTACACTCCTTTACACCCTAAGCACCTCTCTGCCTCAACCTAGTCCTGGCCCTGGCATACAGTAAAAGCAGTTCGACTGAGGTCCAGCATCACACAACCCAAGTATACAGCTCCTTAACAGTCTTGTTTGGATCAAGGAAACTTTGGTCTCTATAGAAAAACAGTGGAATTCCTTTAGGAATTTCTCCACAAATGCTGTTTCTCGCAAGCGAACTACAAGAGGCACCAAGTCTGAAGTTACATTCTCTGAAGAGAAGCCCAAGTCCAGCCATTCTAGGTTTTTACTTAATGGTATATTTTAAGATATTATAATCCCTACATTTTCCAGACTCCATGCTGGATAACTGTAAGATATCTAAGTTATATCACATCTTAAAGCATATCATTGGTCAAAAGGTACACTTGAAATGTGCTAATGGGGAAAGAAAAATCTCATAAGAACAGGAATAATCTCCATCAACTTTTTAAAAGAAAACTGGTCATTATAATGTTTTTACTCCAAAAATAATTAAACAGTAATAAACAGATGATCTAGTAGTAGAGACAAAGCTTTTAACTTTTAAACCAGAAGGAACTGACAGGTTTTCTTTCTTTCCTTAAATAGGGAACAGATTTGTTTTTAACTTGAGGTCTCTGAATCTGATCGTTTCACCGTTGGCAAACTTCCTGAGAAGATGCTAACTGTACCTGTTCTCTGTCAACTAATCCTTCTGAAGAGTGAGATACTCCAGACACAGAAGAATGTTCCAGGCCTCTAAAACAAACAGTAAAACTGGGGTGTAAAGTGCTCATCATTGGACTCTATCCAGGTGCACCTGGTGGGCTTTGTCTAAATTAAACAAGCACACTGTGACACGGTACTGATATCAGAGTTTACCAAAGCGGCCAATCTTCTGAATATGAAAGAGGACTGACACTCATATAGATTCAAGAGCTGCTTATGTGATTATCAACACAGGGGATGAGAGCATGGGCAGCTGATTGAATCACTCTGGACAGCACAGAAAGAGATTTTTGTGAAAAGTCCGAGCTAATAACTGTGTTTGTTTTATTTTTGTTCTTTACCCAAATTATGAATTTGGCCCCCAAATTTATCCGTACTGTCTTTGTTGCTGGGGGCTTACTTTGGGTAGGGTTTCAGATGTCCCCTCAGCATGCACTTTTGACAGTGAATGAACTAGAGAGTTTTCCCATCTCTTCGTATCTCTTCTCTTATAATCCAAATTCTATACTCAGAAATTCAATACTCAGCTATGAGAAATGGCAGCTAGCTTTGACTGACAGAGGGAAGAGTGTGAACAAGAGAACAGATGCAAATATAAATGTGGACATGAGGTTCTCCTTTTTCTTTTACAGGAGAGAGTCTAAATGAGATTTATTTAAAGGACATTCTCAAATTCATATTAGTAGATGATGGCCAGAGACAATTCTTTCAAAACTCTTCATACCTATGAATAACTTTTAAATATAAAGAATTCCAATTTTATAAATTATATTTATGCTTATAAAATATAAAGAAGTCATTACTGCCATCAGTTCATGTTAACTTTGATTATTAATATGTCTAAAAAGTATTTAGGAACACAAATTTCACAACCAAATATCCATCTTCATATATCCATCTTCATAGGCAAAAAAAGAATCTCATTTGTATCGTGACATTTCTTACATATAACATTCTTCTGTTTATACATAATGTAGTGAATGTCAACTCAATATGCATACACATTTTTTGGTTCATGCATCTTGTAAAGCCACTAAGGTTTTTATTGTTGGCTATAAAAATACCACAGTCCCCAAAGCTGGCTTTCTCATTCTTTTTGGTAGAATGGTTTACTATATGGCATCTAAATCCGTAGAATATTATAAGCCTTCAACAGTTAAATGCTGAAGGAACAAGTGGTCATTTGGAACACTTTAGCATCTTCGTACAACAGGTAGCTTACCTGACTCGCTGCAGATGGACTTGCACAATTCTTTCGGTAACATGCCAACATATGGGCAGTCTGATTAACTAGAATTTCCCGGATGACCTTCAAGGGCTGGTGCAGAACTGCTTTAAAAGCTATTTGCACAAAACAATGAAAAGGGCATCAAAGTTTTAAGCTTAGAAATTGATCCCTTCAAATAATAAGAATAATAAAAAAACCCAAATTGCTATTATCTTCAGACTACCCAGCAAGGGATGACAGGATTTAAAATGTTAATATCATTTGCTAATGATCTCTGCTTGACTAAGTATGATGATCTGGCCAATGAAGAACAATGGCCTACCTATAACAAAAGGTAGGTAACTGGTCCAGATTTTTCCTTGGAATATTAGAGACAGAACTCTACACACAGAGAAAAGACAGATCAGTTTGCCATTTTCTGATGTCTTGAATTCCAACAGGCTGGATTGCTGCTGCTTCTAAACCTTAGTGTAGAAGGAGAAGTGTAGAAAACTTAAGTGTAGAAACCTTTCATGGGGGAGAAGGAGCCAAAGAAAATTCCACCTTGGGCCCCTCCCATTTCATAATTATCACAGTATGGATAATGTTAGGGACGGTCTTTTTTCCATTATCCCCATGTGCCAGAGGGCACGCTCATGTCCCATACTAAGATCTAAGTATCACCTTTCTAAATTTCAACTCAGACCCCTAGGGAAGGAAACTTTAAATAAAAGTTTATAGCTGAGCCTGAACTCAGTTATCTCATTATTAGAGTTAGAGATGCTGACTATTCTCCTTGACCCTTTGCTTCTAAATTCTGAATTTACCCACCAAAAGGCTGCACCGCCACAGTGCCTGTCAGCTACTAACTCAATTAACCAATAAGTCTTGACTGAATTACTAGGCAGGGTATACTGCACCACAGGATTAGCAAAGGTTACCTGACTTGGCGAAGAAGTTGACCAGGGCGTCTGTCTCACAGCTCTTATAGAGATCAGCTAGCTGGGAGCTGCAGTTCAAGCTGAGATTGTGAATCCGAAGTCTTCTCTGACCCCCAACGGTCGTGTAAAGCACAGCACACTGCAGAGGCAACATCGAGGACACGTGTTTTTCAGGTCAACATAACCCCCCAAGCAAGTCTGATCTTATTTCCATTTACAGAACACTGTGTACAGCAGAAAGCCCTCTAAATTTTTCCAGAGGATTTTTTCTATTATTGCTAAAAGTCAAACAGCAACAAATGATGGAGGAATAAGGACCAATTCATACACTGGGTTTCTATGTAGGATTTCACTGGTTTAAACAAATTTTAATACAGCTATTCACAAGTAAATATCTGTTTGCATTTCCACAACTAGTCTGCATTTCGCCTATCTCAGATTTCATTACCAAGGACTCAGGTCCAGAAATAATACCTTCATGTTCTCATGGCCCTACTCAAGGCTCACTTCCCTTAAAAACATACAACTAGCTCTGAGGATGCACTTAGGTTTTATGCTGATAACATACACATTTCAAGATTGCAAACATGTAACTATTTCTCCAAATATCTGAGACTTTAAAATAAACATTGGTTAGAGTTCTTCCTTAGCGTAACGCCAGCCTCTCTCCATTCTTTAAGGATGACGCTCATGTCTGAAAACTATGACCATTAGATATAATTTTCTTGTTTTAACTCACAGTTTCCATGGCTTCTAGTTAATTTTATTTACTACAAAGCCAAATCCTATTTATACTTGCTTATAACATGATAACATGTGCTCACCATGGTGTCTGACATGTGGCAGGAGAGCAACAAATGAGTGAATGGGCGCTGAGCCAGAAAGAACTGAACACGAGTGGAGGTCAGCGAGCTGATGCCTGCGATACTGACCACGAGTCTGCAGGCCTCTCATGCAATGATGTATGATTGCTACTTCATAGAGACAGCATATATGAATCAGAGTATGGAGAATACACAACAGAGTACTCTAATGACTTTTGCTTTTGGAGAAATAGAGTGGAATTTCTTTATGGGGAGACTAACACAGTTGATGGTATTTTAGTCTCCCCACTGAATCTCTGTCAGTAACAAACTAATAAGCAAAAAGATGAGAATATACTTTAAATCACCTGGATTAAGGCTCCGCTGTCTTCACCAAGTTTGTCATCATGCTTGAACTCCACGGTCACTGCCTTGTCACAGTCAATGGCTGCCATTTCTATATCAGTGGTGTTGTTCATAAAAATCCCACCAAAGAAATCAGTGGCTCTGAAACCTAAGGATGGGGAAAAAGAAATTTTGCTTCTCATTATTTTACTGTTATTTTCTTGGTGGCCTGTTGTCAGTCTGAAGAAGAAACAATTATACAACAGAGACTTGAAAAATAGTCTAAGTGAAAATTACCTGTGCTGGTACGAACCCTCATAATAGCATCAAATCCTATTTTCTTTTCAATATCATTTCTGAGGTCATTCAAAAATTGTTGGCTATCCAAATGCATCTAAAAAATAAAGTATGATCAATGTCCACCAGATGGCAGTAAAAGACTTAAACAAACAATTCTTTTTTTTTTTTTAAATCTGGATTAAAACCTACTTTATCCAGAAATCTTAGAAAGGGTTTTTAAAGTTTTTTCAATTTTATTTCATTTGCAATCTTTGGTCTTATCAAATCCTTTAACTAGTTTACAATATAAATATGTGGCTAGGCAATTAAAAATAATTTATTGATGATAAATAAAAACAGATGATAATTAACATTTATTATTATCTTGGGGGAACACTCATGCTCACTCCATGTTTCAAAGTGGAGGTGCATGAACTAGACGGCAGCCCCTGACCCCTTGTCCTCAGGTGAGGGCAGGTGACTTGTCTGATTAGTAGTTTGGGGAAAGGAGTTGGGTGGGCACAGCTGAGCCTCTCTGCATCCTCTGTCTGGGGAGGCAGCCTATCTGCAGGAGGCACATGTTTCCCGCCCCTCAGGATAGTAAGTTTTCAAGGCACAGCTGTCCACAGGAGAAGCCTGTAGCTGTGCCCACCCTGGGCATGAGTGTATAAGTTAGTCACATTGAGAGTGAAGCATTAGTGAATCCACTTGTCAACGAACCCAGGGCCACTATAGTTCTGACATTTTGATCATCTCCTGACTCTGTCTCTCAATTCAGGCTTAGAAGAGAGGGTATGATGAATTGATCCCCCAAACTGGAACAATTTAAAACAAATATATAGTCACTTATTTTCATTTTTTGTGTGTGTGAGGAAGATTGGCCCTGAGCTAACATCTGTGCCAATCTTCCTCTATTCTACATGGGATGCCACCACAGTGCATCTTGATGAGCAGTGCTATGTCTATGCCTGGGATCCAAACCGGTGAACCTGGAGCCACCAAAGCCGAGCACATGAACTTAACGACTACGCCACCAGCCCAGCCCCAATATAGTCACTTTTTAAAACAATATCTTAAATATATTTAATATAAAGTATAAAACTTTTATGTAAAATATATTTTTCTCCATCATAGAAGCTTATATTGATATTCACCTCTGAGGCTGAAGGAGCACAATCTGCTGCCAAACACTTAGGGAGCAGGAAAGCAATTGCTTAACCATACATCCATTGTTTACCACTGGCTCTACAATGAACATTTGTCAGTTTCCCACAGCGGGGCACAGCTTTCTCAACCTATAATCTAAGCACCAGAAGTCAAATGGCAGTAGAAAACTGAGGTGAACAAACTGCTGGCATTTACCTGGAAATTGTTGTATTTGTAAAGGGTTCCTCCAGTGAGCAGAGGCACGAGACCCAAGGAGGCCACGTCCACATACTGACTGGGAAAGAGGAAGAGCGTCACGCAGCAGCCGTGAGCCACACAATCCCTGGCCAGCGAGTCATAGACATTTGTCTGGGGCTGGAAAAGTACCTAAAGAAAAAGATGCACGTGAGGAAAAAGAGAGTCACAATAGGTTTTTGGTTAAAATTTTTAATATCCACTGAATTCGTATTAAATTTCTTAAAGTAAAAAAAAAAAAAATTTTTCCTGTTAAGTGAACTGGGCTGAAGAAATGAACTGTGGCATCATCAGGGCAGCAGCCACTTCCTGAGCAGCCATTCTGTGGTCGGCTCAGCTGCGCACAATTTGATGTGATCCTCCCACAACGCTAATGAAGCTGATATTGCTGTCCTCCCGTCACAGCCCTAGAGGAGGCAGGCTGGCTGCTGTCACGTGGCCAGTAGCTGGATGCCTCCGTCATGGTCTTACCTTGCCCGCTGACTTGCCCCTCTCATGGCTCCACTGTCCGAGGGTGTGAGCAAAGCCTATTGTGGGCATCAGGCCCTCTGCCTCAAGCCTCAGGAGTGCTGTCAGATGGTGCAATCTACATTCTCCCTCTCCCTTTTACTTTTTTTCTGCATTTCCCCCATTTCCTCCATTTCTATAATAGTCTTATTACTCGGTCTCTTACACAGATTATACGTGAAAAAAGTTTGAGACCTTATTTTAATTTAGGTACATTTCGGACATCAGTTTTTCTAGGAATATAAAATTTCTTAAATTATTTGCAATTCAAAATATTCGTATCATATACAATGTCCTGGATTTATGCATTACATTTAGCTTTTCCTCTTTCTTACACAAAGGACACACTCCCTCTTTCCTTACTCCCTTTTAAGAACTGACATATAGTCACTTCAAAGGGTAACTGTTTACAAGTACCTTCTCTTTGTCTGTGTTAATCAGCTTTTTGTCGTCTCTGTTTTTGAGCTTCCCTGGTGCTTCCGCAGTCGGCAAGGAGGAATGGAAGATGAACAGTTTCCCCGGACAGTCTGCTGCCTGAAAAAAAAATCACAGAAAATGTTTTGGGTGGGAAAGTTTTATTTTAAGGGACTCAGAAAATAAATTAAAATATAAGTACTTTCTAAGAGCCAATCACTGTACAACTCTCGTTTAATCCTCACAATAACCTCTGCATCATTGGGCAACTACTATTCTCTCCATTTTACAGATGGGAACACTGAGGCTCAGAGAGGATAAGAGATTCGCCTTAAGTCACACAAGTTGTAAATGAGAGCACCAATATTTAAATGTAGGTCTATATACCATGATGCTTTAAAAAGTATTACGATGATGCGTTACAGTGAAAATACTCTCTAGTGTAGCCTACAGGACAGTCTTTCAGGACCAGGTAAGCCCATGCTGCAACAGTAATTGATGAGATTCCCAGGTCATGATGCAACAGAAGCTCTTCTTCGAAAGCTTTAGTAAACACAGATTAAACCTAAAGCAGTATTTCAAGCAAGAATGCACAAGAATGTGGCGGTGGTGTGGCAACAGTCGACACCAGGAACCAGTTATTAGGCAAGATGAGACAGGGAAAATGTGGGATCAAGATTATATCTGTAGTCCCTGGGAAGCAATAAAAGGATGATTTAGGCTCTGCGAAAGACAATTCAGCATTAAGAATATTTAAAATCTTATTTAAGCAGCTAAGAAGTAACCTACCAAGCAAAATTTACTGAAATTAAATGATTCCACAGATTGCTCCCCTCCAATCTTGCTTTTCTCCAAACCTTCCTGGCACATTGCTGCCAGAGCGCTCTATGAAACAAAGGCTACTGGTCTGGTCATGGACGGGGCTTTTCTCCTCAAGAATCCTGAGGACTTTTTACAGGATCGAGTCCACGCTCCTTCATCCGGGTGGGAGCAGGAAGGGGAGGAAACAGTGAGAGGAGCTGCTGCCAACATTTGCTGCGTGCAGCTCCGTGCCAGACCCTTCCCGCACTTCTTATTCTATACTCAGAACCTTGTGAACAAGGTACTATGGTCTGCATTTCAAGGAGGAAAACTGAGGCTCATCCAGTTTGCCCGGTTCACACAGCCAGTAAATGACAGCTTCGGGCCTTTGGAGTTTTGTCTGAATCTATCTTTCCAGTCTAATCTCCAACACTGCCTCGCCCCTGCCATCCCTTGCATTGGAAGTTTCTGCCACACAAGCTTCTTGCTTTCTTGGAATACACCACACGCTTTAGACACTTTCATGTCTTTGCGTATTCTATCCCCTCAGTCTGGAATCCACATCTCCCTTTTCCTGGCCTGGAGCTGTTGTTTGCAAAGGCTGGGTTTAGCAGCACACACTGGTATGCCTTAGTCAGCTGGAAGTGTTTTAAGTTATTTGCTACTAATAACGAGGCACTTGGGTTTGCAAATAACTTCCTTAAGAAATAAATGGAGAGAAGTCAAGGTTAGCCCTGTCTGAATGTGTCTTACTGAGTGACATTCTGATATGCTTTGTGGAGCGGGTCACAGCTGACACACTGGGAAGGGTGGGTGACCCCACGCCCCATCTCGTCTTTGCTGTGGCCAGTAGTGAGCAGCAATCCTACTGTTGCACGGGCCTTCAACTGAAAATTCCTGATAGATCAGCATTATTGCGATGGAAAACAAATTGCGAAAGGTTGGCCTGGAGAACCCACTGTTCAAAATTCAGCCCCAACGTCCTTTCCTCTAAGAGAAGTGTTGTTATCACTCTCGGCAGAGCAGGGTGCCTCTGCCTCTATGCCCCCACTCTACTTTGTAGATAAGACTATTCTAGAATTAATGACACCACATCACAACTTTATCTACTCTACTGTCTTCTGCAGATCACAGGCTCCTTGACTTTTGGACACTGTGTTTCTCTAAGCCCCATCGGGTCCAGGGCCCTTCACTCTATCGATGCTCCATAAACTGCTGTGGAAGGCATGCTACGATGCATCATCTTGAAATCAAATTTAGGTATATATTAAGATAATTTAAAGATAACTTCCCCCCAACTAGTGATAAATTTGCAGTCTAACTACTAAAGGCGATTTCCCTCCAACTTTTTGCCAAACTCTATTTATCTAGTTTTACGGTGGAAGTAATAGCTAACTCGGAAAACTGCTGTTTGGCCAAGTTAAACGGGAATGCCAGAAATTCACACGGAGTTGAATTATGAGTGTCAGATTATGAAGGAGATGCGGATTTTGAAAAACTATGTGGGGAAAAAGACACTAAGAGTACAAGATGCTGTGGACAAGAGAAAATAGTGTATCGAAGCGTTTCATTGGCTAGTTCGAGGACTTCTGAGGAAACATGCATAAGAACTTTCCCAACAGTCCCTCTTTATCTTTGTGACAAATCAGCACCTGTTTTGTGTTGGTTTTTGTCTGCTCTCTTTGTTTGAATAAAGAAGTTTATTACTACTGCCTATATATAGATTTTACTTGGCATCTATCTGATAGACAGTAAAGCTATAATTCGAATGGGGGAGTCCAGTTCTAAAACGTCTTTACTCGGACACACGATGAGAAACACTGCACTTTGATGTTCTTTCAGCTTCTGCTCCCTGTCCACAGAGGACGAGACTCTCATCTCTGGCCTCTTGTGCAGAATACCCTGAGCTAGCTGGCTGACCAGCCGCAGTCCTGGGGTTCCCAAAGTCGCTCTTTGCTCTCCTCCCCATCGCCCTTCTCCGGAATACAAGCAATAAATGTCAAGTCTTGTATCACAGCATTACACCTCTTCTACCACACTGTAAACAACTTAGAAGCCGGGACAGCAGTCCTTACACTGCCTTACAAAACACAGGCACTTAGTAAATCTTTGCTGATTGAAAGAATGAGTGAAGGAATGAGGTGGTCTCTTCAATATTTAGATACTACCCTGCAAATTCTCAAAAGCCTTAGTTCTTAGCTAAAGAATGACTTCAGGCAAGAATTTTTATACCCTTATATATAAGTCACACAAATTTAAGTCTGGCTGATTTTTAGCCACACAGGGCTTGAAAAGATAATGAGACAATATGACTGTCAGAGGTAGCTAAATAATCCTATACACACCAGACATTTATATACACACATACACACATACACACACACACAAACTCTTTTATCCTGTTGGAAAAATCTTTTCTTCTTCCAAACCGGGTAGAGGTTTGCTATGAGACAGAAAGCGCGAACTGCAGACAAGCTCCAATTACACTGTAGCAGTTTCTGCTCTTATACAAGCAATTATAATCACCCAGAATCTTCCTTGCAGATGCAGGAGAAACGCCTTCATTAATCTGTTATTTACATCAACAATCTATTTATAAAAAAAGTTCTGAGGAAACATGATTAAAGGCACAGACACAATGGAACCGCTAAGGCAGAAGTAAAGACCTAGAAATCAGTAAAAACGTCAGGGAAAGGAAATAATTATATTAGAAAATCTACTGTAAGTATTATTTGTATCTTTCTTGGTAGTTAACGCTAAAAGAAATGTTATGAGTTGGAATTACTGTAATAACCTACTCTAGAAGACCAGATAGTGAATTTTTCTACATGTAAGAAATTGAATAACACAATCATGTCTCCACTTAATGTTCTACACAAGAAAGAAACTTTCTTCATAGTGTTATTTCTTAATTTCACCATTAATTAAAAGCTTAGGGCCAGATGTTAAATCATGGGTAAGTGAAAGCATTCTTAGTGCAAAAGTAACGTACAAAGTCGTATGGGTCAGGTATGCAATTTCCTGGTGAGATGACTCAATGTAAGGATATTCTCAGATACTGCAGAATAGAGAACAATTTCTTACGCTGGTGGTTCCCAGATACAGAGAATCAGCAGAACAAATTGGAGAGCTGAGGAATCAGAATCTCTAGGAGTGGGGCCAGAAATCCACATTCTTAAAGTGTCCATCCTTGAACACGTGACTCCATACTCACTGGTTGGGGAGCTGCTGCCTTATCCCCTGCAACAGTGGGGCGCCATGCAGACAGCGACTGCCACTGACATTATGTCCAACAGTGCCATTCTATAAAGGTAGTTCCTTATCTTTTCAAAAAGGCGATTATTTACCTTTTATAAAGATAGGTCATTCTACTTTGCAAGAATACTACTACTTATTAACTTCGATATTTATGAAGTTTTTTTGAGTTGTTATACTTAGATATCAGTTTCTTCTGATTTTCAAACTTGAATGTAAAAGTATACATTACTCTAACAATAAAATTATAAATATAACAAAAAATAACATGCGAAAGACATGAAAATACATTGGATGCAATGAACTGGCCTCTGGTAAGTGACTGATAGCTGAGAACACTGCTGTGGTCACTGTAGTGCGTGAGCAACCTCAAAGAACACTACGGCTAGTAAGAACACAGGGTTTTTCAGTAACATATCATAAATAATACCACATTTCAGACACACGGAATGCATGTACACAAATTTGCTTTATGCATTTTTTCTATGCTAAGCAGCCTCTAGACATCTTGTGGATTGCCAACATGGAACCTACTGTCATAAAACAGTATAGCTCCCTTGCAGAAATGGAATGTGGGGTTGAGCTGGGATTCGGTACTCAGGTCCACTGTAAGCCATGCCATTCTCTTCTTTCCCATTCCCTATCCTAATTGATGGCATATAGCCTATGAATATCCGCTCATCTTTCCTCCCAGACATGAGCACATGAATACAATTTTATTCCCAGTCCTAACTTCTTAGTGTAGAAAGCCTTGCAGGGTCATGTATGACTCATCATATATTGGGAAACTTACATATGGATTTCTAGGTACTTTACTGGAAGAGACAACAAAAATAACAAAACTCCTTCAAATTGAAATAGAAGATATTTGTTTTTAGCAATGTGGAATAAAATAGGCATTCCCAAGTCTTTCTGTAGCCCAACCAATCATCACCATTGACTTCCATGGATGAACTCTAATATCTCCAAATTGCTTTATGACGTAAAACATTTTTAATTTATGTTAAATTAACATGTATTCTGAGGCTTCTGGGGGGACATCCAATGAGTGAATGCTCTGAAGATCAAATAACCCCAGCAAGAATCGCTGTACTAGACCCAAGCTACAATGTTTAGACCCAAAATTTATGTGGAAGTGTTTCATAAACTCAGTTCTGTAGCATTGTTGTTGCTGTTTGTTATTATTGCTATTGTTATTATTATAAGCTATTTCATTTTAAAAGTTAATTTAAATTTAACTTAATAAAATTTTTTTTTTTTAAGATTTTATTTTTTTCCTTTTTCTCCCCAAAGTCCCCCAGTACATAGTTGTGTATTCTTCGTTGTGGGTCCCTTTTTTTTAGTTGTGGCATGTGGGACACTGCCTTAGCGTGGTTTGATGAGCAGTGCCATGTCCACACCCAGGATTCGAACCAACGAAACACTAGGCAGCCTGCAGCGGAGGGCGCGAACTTAACCACTCGGCCACGGGGCCAGCCCCTAACTTAATAAAATTTAAAAGTCAATTTTAGGAACTAGCAGTCCAGGCCAAAGTGGTTTAACTCTTGCACTAAGGTAATAATGATTAAGAGTAAGTGCTTTTCAATCATTTTGCCTTCTTCAGATAACTGTCTTTACTGCTATGAAAATGACCAGAGCCTCTTGGGCTCAGCTTCCCGGTCAGAGACACGGCCAATCTCGCGTCTGCTCTGGGCACTCGGAAAGGCCCTGCATAGTCACTTGCTGTCACATGCCCCGCATGTTTGAAAATCCCAGGGGAGGAGAGGGTGATGTGGGGACTTTTCACTTCATATCTGGTAGTTCACATATTGTTAAAATAATCTTAAAATAGATAACATAAAGTTTATAGAAAAGCCAAAGGGAGGAACTAAACTGGAAATCCTGACAAAATCAGTTGCTCAGACGCTAACGGGGCTGGAAGAGAAATGCTGGGAGCGACCTGTGGTTTGGGCCATTTCCTCCTGAGATTTGTGGGGAAGTTTGGAATGGCCTACGTGTTTTCATGAAGGCTGAACTTTCTTTCATGGATGAAACTTCCTTCGTGTGTGTGTGTGTCTGTTTTTAAAATTTATTTACTAGCACTTAAAAGAAGCTTCTTTTCACCTTTAGCGCTTCCATGCCAGCCTGGATGACAGGAGCAAAGACAGTCTCATTTTCATTCGAGTCTGCAAACATGTCCGGAATCTGGTCCAATAAACTGTAAGAAATGAATGACCAAAAGGTTCTAAATGTTTAGCATATTTGTAATAAACTTCAAGAGATGAATCACTAACATTTCAAGCCTAAACACATACGGTATTTATCTTATGCTGCACACCTATGGGTGAATTTCACACGCCCTTCCTCAGGGAACGATGTTCAGGCATGGTTCAGCACCAAAATTTATGATTTGTTCGGAACATTTACAAAATCACACTCTGTGTAGATATATTTTCTATTCACTACATTTCTGATCTCCTAAACTATAAATTCTTGGAACAGTGGGAATATATCTTTAGTTATTATCATCATCACTGAATACATTCCTCCACTTACAGAAAATACCTCCCTTGCACTACCTTTCCAGCAAAGACAAGGGGTCAATAGGGTTGCGTTTGAGTATTAAAAATATCCCTCCTTTTAGATACTGGTCTACATTAAAAAGAGACAGAACAAACATAAACGATAGAGTTTTATAAGCCACGTGTTAAAACCTCCTTGCTAACGACAAAACAAAATAATACATGATTGAATTGACACAATTAAAACAGATACCCGACCTGTAACTAAATTATAAAACACTTGATATTTACTTGTGAATCACAGATTGGGATTCCTGGTAGTTGACAAGGAAACCATCCAGCAAAGGAACAAAGACCTCAGAAACATCAGTCACCACCATCATCTGAGGCTGGGCCAAGTTACTCTTCACATTAAAGAAATGCAGAACTTTGTTGTATGTGATAAAACCAACTCGAATTGCAGAAGTCTCTTCTTGCTCTTCCCTAGGAGGAAAAAGAAATGTCTGAGGTTCTTTCACAGATTTACGAGAGAGGTTTCTATCAGAAATTTGGTAAGAACACCTTCTGTAAAATATATGGAAGACATGTTTAAAGCTTTGGTCATCATTGTTTACCAGATTTAAACAGTGCTCAGTCACAGTGGTAGGAGATGGGGGATAGATATTACAAAAATAAGTAAGCTGATAAAGAAAAAAATTCTAGGTAAAAACAATCAAATAGATATTATGAAAACATTTGCTCACATTTCTTTAATATATTTATTCTCAATCCACAGAAATTACAAGGTGTTTTTTTTTTCCATAAACAAGCTAGGCTTATTACATTCTTTATAAACAAAGCTCTCTCAGAAGTCACCAGAAGGTCAGAACAAATGGAATACCTAAAGCAAGAGAAAGGCACCCTCAGATTACAAACAGGACAGCTATTTTTATGAAGAAAGGACTCACTCCTCCTGTGTGCTTCTTTTCTTACACATTCTATAGAATCTCAATAGAAAATGGGCTAGATTTTGAGAGCTATACACCATATAAACATGTAGTATAAACATATAGTATAAACATATAAAATAAATCACATATATGAATTGATGATGTAATTCTTCTTTGGTAACCATTTGTGATGGCTGCAGCAAGATAATCAAAGTAGTAAAAGCTCCAAAACCGTAACAAAAAGTAAAATTTTTTGGAGGAATTCCAAGACAAGGCCTTAATCTTCCTGAAGGAGTATAAACGCATAAATGTTCTCATTCAAGTCTATACTGAATATATTCAGAACTGAGTGGTCTAGACTTGAGCTATGTGTTTACTCAAGTTTTCCTCCCTCCCTCCCTCTTTCTCTCCCTTCTAAAATAACACACCTAGACACTACCTGTGCTCTTACTAATTTTCAGTGGTGGATGTAACATAATACTCAATGGCTACATGAATGCCACAAAAGATATATGCCATTTTCTTTGACCCATAGATTTTGGTAAAACTTTCTTTGACCCGTAGATATTGGTAAAACTTTCTTTGACCCGTAGATATTGGTAAAACTTATTTTGCTTGGGGGACAACTTTTTGAAAAAGAACCTAGTTTTCTTAGTTTCTAAATTTTGCACACAGCATAGTTACTTGAGTACAACAGAAAGGAAAATGAAAGTATCAGGATGAAAGTATCTGAAGTTCAAATTGCTGATCCCACTGCAGACTTCCCAATTTCACTGATGTTCAAGAGAGCACAGGCTGACGAACTACTGACTTTAAATTCTGTTTTACTTCTCTACGTCCTTTGCTAACTGAGGGTATTTATTGTTCACTGTGTCCTTGATAAATGGGCGGGCAGTTTAAACAGATCCTCAGAATCCCTTCCTAAAGCACTTAGTAAATGTTTATATTCTGGACTCTTGCACGATTTTCAGAAATGGGAATCCTTATCCTTTGCTACTACACAGACACAGACTTGTACACACAGTGACACAGATACACACCCCTTGGTAGCCTAAACTTTATGACTTTGCGCAACTAACCACTATGCACACTGCATCCACTGTTTCCTTTCCCCTCCCTAATTATTAGAATTTTACTCTTCAAGACCAAGCTCAAATCCTTCTTCCTCTGTGAAACCTCCCCTCAGGCTACCAACCAGAAGTTATTTCTTCTTCTAAATTTCTACAAATCATTCTCATTGTGCTCTTAGTACATAGCGCCTTTCAGTTAACATTTCATGAATCCTTAACTATAAATCAGTAAAGGGCAGGGCCCAGAACTTGTGCTCTCTGCTCCTCCAAGGGTCTAGTACAAGACGGAGGATTAGAGATTTTGTTTAGGATGATTATCATGACGGTGAAGCATCGTATTTAAGAAGGTAAGTTAGAGTGCACAGATCAATGGAACAGAATTGAAAGCCCAGAAATAAAACCACACATCTACAGACAGCTAATCTTCGACAAAGGAGCTGAGGGCATACAATGGAGAAAAGAAAGTCTTTTCAACAAATGGTGCTGGGAAAACTGGAAAGCCACACGTAAAAGAATGAAAATTGACCATTCTTTTTCACCATTCACCAAAATAAACTCAAAATGGATCAAAGACCTAAAGGTGAGACCTGAAACCATAAGGCTTCTAGAAGAAAATGTAGGCAGTACACTCTTTGATATCAGTATTAAAAGGATCTTTTTGGACACCATGTCTTCTCAGACAAGGGAAACAATAGAAAGAATAAACAAATGGGACTTCATCAGACTAAAGAGCTTCTTCAAGGCAAGGGAAAACAGGATTGAAACAAAAAAACAACCCACTAACTGGGAAAAAATATTTGCAAGTCATATATCCAACAAAGGCTTAATATCCATAATATATAAAGAACTCACACAACTCAACAACAAAAAATTAAACAACCCGATCAAAAAATGGGCAGGAGACATGAACAGACATTTCTCCAAAGAAGATATATGGATGGCCAATAGGCACATGAAAATATGTTCATCATCACTGATCATCAGGGAAATGCAAATCAAAACTACACTAAGATATCACCTTACACCCATCAGAATGACAAAAATAACTAAAACAAATAGTAACAAATGTTGGAGAGGTTGTGGAGAAAAAGGAACCCTCATACACTGCTGGTGGGAATGCAAACTGGTGCAGCCACTATGGAAAACAGTATGGAGATTCCTCAAAAAATTAAAAATAGAACTACCATACAATCCAGCTATTCCACTACTGGGTATCTATCCAGAGAGCTTGAAGTCAGCAATTCCAAAAGTCCTATGCACCCCAATGTTTATTGCAGCATTATTTACAATCACCAAGACATGGATGCAACCTAAGTGCCCATCAACAGATGATTGGCTAAAGAAGATGTGGTGTATATATACAATGGAATACTATTCAGCCATAAAAAAGAACAAAATCGTCCCATTTGCAATAACATGGATGGAGCTTGAGAGAATTATGTTAAGTGAAATAAGCCAGATAGAAAAGGACAATCTCTGTTTGACTCCACTCATATGAGGAATTTAAACCTGTGAACAAAGAGAAAAGATTAATGGCTACCAGGGGAAAGGGGGTGGGGGGTGGGCACAAAGGGTGAAGGGGTGCACCTACAACACGACTGACAGACAATAACATACAACTGAAATTTCACAAGATTGTAACCGATCACTATCTCAATTAAAAAAAAAAAAAAAAAAGGTAAGTTAGAGCCCAAACTGATCGGTAAACTGATTATACGTGTCTCTTCCCAACTCCAGTTCAATGACGCTGCCTTGATAGTTTAAAATGAGGCTGGCTGGAAGTATTTACACCACAGGAATCAGCAAACACTACAAATGAAGGCTTTACTGATTTGAAAGCCAGTTGACCAAGCCACCACTGGTTAAACTCTCATTTCCCAGTGAACCTTTTATTACATAAAGTGGAAAACGTCCAGAAAATCATTAAGGGTATTTATTCTCATTTAATATTTAATTTGGAGTCAACTAAGGAACAAGATGCAAAAGAAAAATTACAGAAAGGAATCTGGATTGCTATTTCCCATCGGATTTGGACATTTTCAAATGATGGGAAAGGAGTATCCTGGGATTCATAGGGTTCACTTAAAACCTAAATTAATATTTTTCAAAAATATCTAATCAGAACATCTTACATAATTGAAAAATATTAGTACATGTCTCCATGGGAAAATGTTTTTTCAAATATTTGTTTGAGAAACAAAGGACTATCTTAAAATTTTTTCAATGGTCTAACTCCCTTAAATTATATCCAGAAGAAAACTAATTCTTAGCCTCTCCTTCATATTAATTCTATTCAAATTTTGTAAAGTTACATAAGGAATATCATCCAGAATGACATGTTTTTGTTCTTCTACTTTTCAATGACCCACCCCTTAACACTTGCCCCTATTATTTTAATGGAATGAATCTGACAGAGGAACACTGGAAGATATTAGTAACTAGATGAACCAGAACATTCCCAAATCAAGCATTTTGAACATGTTAGCTACAGCAGCATTAAAAACAACCAGAAAAAAACTCAAGAGCTTGATCTGACCAACAGGTGAAACACTTCAAATCTTTTCTTTCCTGTTCCAGAGAAGCCAGACAGAAAAGTCTGTTAATCTGGCAATATCAAAGACACAAATTCAAAGTTAAATGGTAAAGGATGGAGCCTTTCTCTTTCAAAAGATTAGCTAAGAGATGAACATGCCTTGGACATTAATCAGGACTTACACTGTGCGTTAAAAAGGCTATTTGGCATACTACCTGCTTTAGTTCAAAGAAGTAAATCAAATTGATTTATCAAATTGATGGAAATCTTACCATTAAAATAAATATAAAGTTATACATATACACAGCCTAAAATAAATTTTGAGGCAGGAAAAAAACCACATATTTTTTAAAAGATCAAGGAAGTAAAGGTATTTTGGTTTGAAGAAAAACTCTTAAGAGAGAGATTTGAAAAGTGGCAGGGAATAACCAGCAGGATCCTGTTATTGTTTTCTCCTATCTCTTGCCAAAGTCACACATCTACTCCAATGGGATATAAAAGTTATGATGATACCAAAGGAAAGGGTGTGATTCTGTAACTTATGTCAATAGACTACAAGCTTCAGATCACCACCGTGTTAAAAGGAACGAGGGGCTGGTGAAGTGAGTAGGAAAATAGGTTAGCACAATTTGAACCAGTTTGAGAGAAGGGAAAGAGAGAGCAGTCATTTCCAGAAATTAGTTTTCTTTCATACTAATCAAGCTCAAAATTCAGATTGAGAATTAAAGCAGCCCTGTGAGTGAGGTCTATGATAAATTCACCATAGTCAGCAGAAATTCCACACTTCTCAGGTTTCCCTGAGAACGAGGTAACGGAAACTACAGTCACTAACAACGGGAGGCATCAGATGCCTTTCTCATGCCCCATCTTCAACTCACTCCAAGCTCATTCTTCATCTTAGAATTCAGTTTGAAATCACCTCAATGTTTTTTAAACATTCCCACTGCTTTTCCAAACCATCCTCGAGAATATTATGACTTCAGCTTCGTAGATACAAACAAAACTACTTCTGGGAGGTCCAGAGTTCACTCATCTGAGCCTCACATGCACCAAAGCACCAGCCATATGTGGAACGAATACTGGGGAGTGGGTGCCCGAGGACTCGGGAGCCCTAAGGGCTGCAGACAACCCAGCCCTCAAAGCATCTCTTTCCAGAGCAGAGACTGCTTCTGTTCAGGAGATAGGGAGGAGAGGAGGACATTGAGACTGGTGCAGACACCAGGTTTCAGAGTATTTCTTCGCCTTTTATCTTCTTAAGTATGTCCTCCTCTCATAAAGGAAGGCGTTCTCCCTGCTCCTGAGTCTCCTTACTAGATGCTACTCCCCATCCTAAACAACTAGTTTGCACACTCTGAAACATAGCCACTTCTGCTAAAATACCTTTCCACCCTTCCTTTCGTGTACTGCCTGAGCAGTAGCAAGGAAAGTGATACACCTTGTGCCATTAAGCCTGGATGCTGCAAAGGGGTTAGATGGTGTAGCATAAGGGCAAAAGGAAATTTTGGGAAAAAGCTGTTGTGTCCGCCATAAGACAAGAGTTCGTTTTCTGGCATCCCTTAGACTCTCCACCATGCCCAGCAACTACCAGTTTCCACCGGAAAATCAATGCCTTTGAAAAGTGAATAACAGACTTCCAGAGTCTTTTCCACCACACTGTTGGGATTCTCCTTATAATTTATACTGTATTTTGAATGTTGTTTACCACAGCATCATTTTTTCCCAGTTTGTTTCTTTTCCTTTGTATAAAAGATCACTCTGACTTTTTAAGGACTCTAAGAATGGTACTGTTTGATTTATAAATAATTACCCAATGTCCTCATTAGCAAAAGATAGCAATGGGTCATTCAGCACTTGTTTTCTGGCCCATAAATTAATTCTCAAGATCGTACAAGTTGTCAAAAGAAAGGCAGTTTCCTTACTTTGGAAGCTTTTCCAGTACGGTCTTCAGTTCTTCACAAATGAGCTTCACGAGTCCGTTCTTGATGTTGCTGTAGGAGACATCGATCATGAAGACGAAGGCCGGGGCGCTAGGAGGCTTGTTCTTCTACAGGAGAGCAAAGACATCACAGAAATGCAGTCACTAAGTACATACATTTCACAATCAAATGCAAACACTCAGAAACTCTGACAGGCCATCAGTTTTTTCATCTAATATTGAGGATATAACACCTGTGGAACTAAATCGGTTTCTAGAACACAGTCTCTGATGCCATAAAAAAGATGAAGCTGTTTCACTTCCAGGAGAGGACCTGGGTCCCACTATCGAATTAGACAGTATGACAAGGGCTAGCAGAGAAGGCTCGCTTTTGTAAAGCTCCAACGACCTCGCTGCTCCAATTGCCTAATGGTGAGCAAGTCTGGTAGTCGGCCCTGCTTATACCACTCTGCCTTATTGGAAGAAATGTGCCTGGAACCCTGGCAAATTGTGCCCAAAAGAAGTACACACAATAATTAGCATTTGTTTCTGAAACTGTCATAAAACTTCATTAACTTGTTGATATTGCTATTTTCAAATCTCTTCCTTTATAAGCTTTTTCAGTTCTAAAGACATGAAATTACATACTAAAATGTAATTGTATACTTTAAAAAATTGTAGTATATTGTTAAATACTTAGCTATTCCTAACACATTTATGGTAAAAAAATGGAATATTGGCCCTTTTCTCTATGTGTTTAAACAATCATTGTAACATAAAGCAGCTGCTACATAAATATTTTGTAGCTGTTGGTCCCTTTACTGGCTGGTGTTCAAACAGCTCTTAGGAAGTGATTCTTCAGTTGGATCTTACAAAATATTTAGAAAAGAGAGCCACAGGCAAAACACGTTAGTGACTCACACAAGAGAATAAAGAGTTGACTAATTTAATTGTTAACTTTATGATAGATGACAAAAATGTTCTAAAATAAAATTGTATTTTAATGGTTATAATTATAAAATTAGATGATAACATCTCCAAATTATCTTCCTGATTCATTCTATAACCACTACAAGGTGAGACATAAGATTCCTCTAATAAAAGTCCTTCACTTGAAATAATAAAAAAATTACAGGCCTTAAAAATCATCAGTCTGAAAACTTTAACACTTTGCCACATCGAAAATCAGACCAACAAAGAAATAAAAGACCTGTACTGCTATCTATGTGAACAATTTTTATTGAAAATAATTCTTGATCCTCACCTAATCTAATTCATAACATAGTCTCGTGCTGATCTATACATGAAAATGACAATCATTTCCATTCATTAAACCAAAACCTCTATAGGACCAACCCAAATGTGCCTTACCGTTCTTATATTCTCTCCTAAGTTCAGCATTAGCAGGTCCCCACTGAATGTTTTCCGTATCTCCAACCTACACATTTCTATGGAATGCTTCACTGTAACTTATTTTCTATGTATGCAAAACTAATTCATCATTCCTCTAAATGACATTCTCTTCCAACATCTCTTTCTCTATCAATAACATGACTACATACCGACTCAAAGGCTTGAAAACATAAAATTAGATTTGACTATTCCTTTTCTTTCAATCGCTGAGTCCCATTGATTTATTCTTTCAAAATGCTTCTTTCACACCTTTTACCCGATCCCTACTCTTAACCCTCTGGAAACTTGCCATCTTGTTCCTAGAGAACTGCAATGGCTTCATCATTGGCTTCCTTAATCAATTACTCTACCCATTCAATCTGGCTTGCTTTGTCCAGGCAAGCTTAACAAGCATGAACTCTATAAAAACGTGGTTTTAAATGACATCTTACCAAAACTACTCTCTTAAAGGTCCCAGACCTCCTGACTACAAACTACAGGGACTTCAAATAAAATCCAGCTCTCATCCTAAATCTCTTTTGTCTCTTTGCAATTTTAGGCATGGAAGACCGCTTCCACTTTTTTAGCCACCAAGAGACTGTGCTGTCACTTCCTCTCCTACTTTTCTGACCGCTGCTTCTGTTTTTTATTTTCTTATCTTTCTCTAGAGGACACCTTCTTCTTTCTTTATACCACATGCTCCATCACAGAAATCTCATTCGTTCACTCAGTTTTAACCAGCACATCTTCACACATGACTCCTCAAACTCTCGCTCATCTAGGGCTCTTTTCTGAGCTCCAGACCAGTGTTCCAATTAACCAAAACTCACCTCCACGAAAAGAACCTGCCAGCATCTTACACTCAAAATTTTAGAAGATGACATTTCTCCCACTATACTGGTCTTTTCTATAAGAAACTTACGGAAAAACACAATCCTCTAAAATAGGCTGGTTTTGAAATCTCATCCTCTCCACCAAACTGCCCGTCTCCCTAACCACCCATACCCGGTTAATCGTGAAGCCCTCTGTGCCTCTTCCAACTTCCCTCCTCTCTCCAGAACCTGCGAACCACCGTCCTACATTTCTACAGTCTATCTCTATGAATCTGACTACTCTAGGTACTTCATATAAGTAGAATTATACAGTATTTGTCTTTTATATGACTGGCTTATTTGACTTAGCATAATGTCCTTAATGTTCACCCATGTTGTGGCACGTGTCAGAATTTTCTTCCTTTTTAAGGCTGAATAATATTTCATTGTATGTATATACCACATTTTGCTTATCCATTCATTCATCGATGGACACCTGGGTTGCTTCCATCTTCTGGCTATTGTGGATAATACTGCTATGAACATGAGTGTGCAAATGTCTCTTTAAGACTCTGCTTTCAATTATTTTGGGTATATACCCAGAGGTGGAATTGCTGGATCATATGGTCATTCTATTTTTAATTTTTTGAAGATGTGCTATACTATCTTCATTTTCTCTTGCTTGGACATTTAGAAGTTAAGGTAGTACATTAACTTCTAATACCTCCCTGCCTCCAATCTCTCTCCTCTCCTTATACAGACTGCTGTCAGAATAAAAACTATCTGAGGCACAATACAGATGACAACGCTACTGCCTCTGAGAACAAGAAGTTGACTGAGTCCCCAGAGCCAAGCTCAGAGCACGGCACAAAAAAGAGTGTTCAATACTGTGGATTAATTGAGTGAATGGATGAGGGGATGGATGGATGGATTAATGGAAACAACTCCTTCCTTACCTTTAATTGTCCTCATAGCCTATTGAATTAACACAAATTCTTCAATGGGCTGACATTCAAGACTCTCCATATTACTTATTTGGCAAACATGTATACAAACCTAAGAGATCAAAGATATGTTGCCAAACCAGTGGAAAACAAAAGGATAGTGTGTGTCTCAAAACAATTTGCCAGCTTTACTTCCCGTCATCATTCTCCAACACACATTCCTCCAACTAATTTAAGTGCTTGCCATTTTCAAAACATTTCCTATCCAGAAGTCACAGTCTAGCAGGCCTGGGTCAAGAATTTGGCCGGAAAAGTGTTTTGTTTGGCATAGAGTTTTAAAAATATTTGAATTTGACTGTGTTTTGGAGGAAGGGGAATACACTCTCCAGTTATCCTAGTCTCCATGCTAGGTCCCCGTGACTCGCCGACAGTGCCTGCTGCTGAAGAAGGCAGAGTTGCAAAGACCTTTGTGCGACTGCTTATGCTCACCATTTAGTTTCCCCTAACATGTCCACATGTCCACGCTCTGCTCATGGTTTCACTAGCTCAAATGTCACTTCTCTGAATCCCTCCCATGATCCTCCAAATCATAAGTTATTGCTTGACTATTTTCTATGGCCCTCTGATTATTCTACTCTCACAGCATTTACAACACTTACATTTTGGCTTATATCATAACTACACACTTTTCCGATCAGGTCTATACATGGTAAGCACCTTGAGATCAGGTTCATTACCTTGCTAATTTTGGTATCCTTCACAGCACAGAGCCCAAGCGCCTTGGATATGTGAGCTATCCAATAAATGTCAAAGAGAATTAAAATGAAGTAGAGAAACTATATTTTATTTAGGGAAAAAAAAGAGGCTGGTTTGTAATGAGATTTTACATACTAGGTACTTTTTTTTTTTTTCTTTTTCTCCCCAAATCCCCCTAGTACATACTTGTATATTTTAGTTGTGGGTCCTTCTAGTTGTGCTATGTGGGACGCCGCCTCAACATGGTCTGATGAGCAGTGCTATGTCTGTGCCCAGGATCCGAACCAGCAACACCCTGGGCCACCAAAGTAGAGCACATGAACTAAACCACTTGGCCATGGGGCCGGTCCCTCAGGTGCATTTTATATGCAGATATATTCTGTAAACTTATAGGTGAAAAACTCCCAGTTATGTGACAGCACTGGGATCTGTTTTTCTAAGGGGACTCCCTGGTGATTCTGTAAATACTTGCCCACATATCTGCAGTGTGTTGATAGAGAATAAAGATTCTGTGGTCAGGCAGACATGGTTTTCAGTCTGGCTCCATCACTGTCTAGATGTCTGACCTGAGGCTGGTACTTAAGCTCTCTAAGCCTTGGTTTCCCCATATAATGGTGGCACTCACCACATGGGTTCACTGTGAGAACTAAATGATGCCATATGTAGAAAGCACTTAGCATAGAGCATCCCACGTAGCAAACGACCAATAGTGTTCGTTTTATTATCTAAAATTGGTATTAAGAGGAACTAAATAAATAGGGGAAAACGTGATTTTGCAGTTCTTCCTTAAGTTTGTATGGTGTTAAAAAATACACCTACAAATTAAATAAGCTCTTTTTCATTGTCTAAATCCCTACGGCAACTCATTATTATACTTTATTTACATTTTAAATTATAATTAAATTTGAAGATATTTATAGCACCTTTTATTATGAACCTTACTTGGAATAATAAAAGGAAGATTAAACTTACAAAAAACTCTTCAAAATGTACAATTTGTATTTGGTTCCTTGCCTGCTGGGTGAGATTTCCCATCAATTAGACATCTGGAGCGTTTCCAGATAACAGAGTTTGAAGATACTGGGGCTCTAGTTCCCAGAAATAGATTTGACTCTCTGCCTAAGTTTCTACTAAAAAAGCATAAAATCAAGATAATGTAGACTTTTTGGCAGAGAAATGGAAACTGAGAACATACTTAGAATTATACTACGGGTGCAAAGATCAGTGAATAAATTTTCCATCACTAGTTACAGTGGCTTTATTACATTTAATTACAACTCCAAATGTTTATGTTCTGCCTAATCATTCTCCTTCAGTCAACAGCAGTGAAGAACAAATAAACTGTCCAAAAGTAATTAGCACTTTAGCACGTGTTTTTTGCCTGAAATAAAGCATTTGTACCAAAAATATTCTTATGTTTCCCTAAATATGTTCAAATGTTACAACATTTTAAATCAACAAAGCGTTAACGTTCCTTTAATAACTAGTTATATGTAACGTTGTGAAAAAATCATATAAAACACTAAAATAAATTAGAAAGTTATGTTAATTGAAAAAAACTTAAAAATCCAATCGATTGAAAAAATCTTCTAGTTAGGAAAAATGTTCTTTGTAATTTATACTCAATACATGGACTGCTCCCTTAGCAAACATCTTTGAAAGACATCCGTGGGTCAGGGGCCGTATTCTGAGAACTGAGCACTAGTAGGCATTCATTTTTTGGATGGGAAAGTAAGGAAATAAGTCAGAAGGACTCCATTTCTTCAAGTCCCTACATGGTGTTTCAGATATAAGCTGAAGTCTGAACTGATGCCCAAGAAGATATTTTCAAATCACTGAAGAATCTTAAAGCCCTGAAAGGTACCCATAATGATGACACTATTACCATGACATTAGAGAAGGGAAACAGCCAGTCCTGGGATAGCAGTACAACTGCAAATTCATTCATTCATTCCACAAACATTATCAACTGCCTACCCTGTGTCAGAACACTGCAGTAGATGCCATAAACAAAACTAGGACAAGATTCTTGTCCCCAAGGATATCAGAAGCTACAAAGAGGGAAAACACGCAAGAAGATTTAAATTTCACGAGGATAACTGCTAAAATAGGTATGAGGAAGATTAGCCCTGAGCCAACTACTGCCAATCCTCCTCTTTTTTTGCTGAGGAAGACTGGCCTTGAGATAACAACCATGCTCATCTTCCTCTTTATACGTGGGATGCCTATCACAGCATGGCACGCCAAGCAGTGCCATGTCCTCACCCGGGATCTGAACCAGCAAACCCCGGGCTGCCGAGGAGCGGAACATGCAAACTTAACCGCTGCGCCACCAGGCCAGCCCGGGACATTTTTCTGAGATGACTGACAAAACAAATAAGGCACAGGCACTATATGGAACTGCTGTATTAAGAACCCAGAATATTCTATCTGGTAGGGACATAAGAATTAAATTGTTGTTTTTTCTTTCTGGCACAATTTTTTAGTCTCTAAAAATGATCACTGCAATGGATGGTTTGGTTATTCAATCATGTTAACAGCCTAAAAGCCTTGTTCTGTGTTTTAGGCATTTCTACATCCCCATGGCACCACCAAAATGCTTTGTTTGTGAGTCAGGAGTCAGTTCTTTATGTATGAAAGTCACTCACTTGTTTGTATTTGACATCAATGTATAAACACTTGAAGTCTGGGAACACTTACTCTGCAATAATCCAAAGTAGCAACATATTCATAAGATTCTGGGAACACTTACTCTGCAATAATCCAAAGTAGCAACATATTCATAAGATCCTAGAGATAGCTCTGGCTTCTCATAGTGGTCCAGTCTTCTTCCAATGTGGTCCAGATGTTGGAAATAGAATGGTGGAACTAATAAAAACAAAACAGGAAAGGAAATCTTTTGTTTTCATAACACAGACAATTTAATAAGTTCTCAAAATTTATTATGGGAGGAAAGGATTTAGTATGAGGATAAAAAAGTATTTGAAACCTGGAATGTGGCATATTCTAAATATCCTCTATTTAAAAAGTATGTCTTGGAAAGAATGAGGGTTTTCTAAAAAAGTCCTCTGGACCCTTCTACAAGTTATTGATGACAAAGAACATTTATGATTTGGACCACTGTAGAGAAACAGGGTGTTATACTACTTGTGTTTTTAAGTTGCCACAACCAAAACATAACTGTCCCTATTTAATTACCTCTTTTAAAAGGAATTCTAGCTTTTCTAACTATTTAAATTTTCAATACACTTAACAGAAATACACATTGGTTATTTGGATTATACTATTAACTATGATATTTATTATCCTTTAATTAAGAGATGGCTTCAGCCATGGGGAGTTTGCAGGGTCATCTTTTAATGTTTGGGCTTCAGAGTAGAGAGGATTACTGTATTAGGGAAAGACCACACCAGGAAGATCTCAGCTGAGGAACTCTTAATTTGATTCAAATGTCTAAAGAGGTTAGTTCTGGCAAAGACCTGGAAGTCATCCAGTAGCACAGGAACACTTATGAGTCACACACTGAACACTTGGACAAATATGGCTTGGTATCTCTGTGAAAATGAACTGTTGCTGCCTCGAGATTAATAGGGCTGGCTCTGAAACCACCGACAAGAGAAGTATTTTGAATAACCAGCAATGCTCTGGTTTCAAGCACTTTGTAAAGAACAACATTTCATTTGTAAAACCACAGAAGTAACGTCTTTTGTTTTAAACCCAGCAACTCAGTATTCTTTATTTTCAGTTAGGAACTAACATGTGGATTACAACAGGATTGTTTCCTTAGATTGGGCTTAAAAATAATCACTGAGGCTTGATTTTTTTTTTTTAAACCATTCATGACTATTTCTTTTTAAACAAGTTTTATAAGATTCCTACATACACATGGATCTCTGAATTGGGAAAATTCAATGTCTTGAAAAGATCACAGAAGTGGGAAACAGACAGTCTCAGCTGAGCTCAGTGATCCATGAGAGGCTTAGACTGCTATTTGGTTACATTCAGATGAGATGGGTGATGCTGCATTGGCTGTTTTAAGATGTGTGGTGCAGTAATTTCTATACAGTTTCTATAATTCTTTTCCAGTTACAAGTCTGCATGTAATATGTGAAAGTTCTTTTCCTTTAAAATTAAGTAATTTTGGGGCCGGCTCCGTGGCCGAGTGGTTAAGTTCGCACGCTCCGCTGCGGGGGCCCAGGGTTCGGATCCTGGGCGCGGACATGGCACCGCTCGGTCAGGCCACGTTGAGGCAGCATCCCACAGCCCACAGCTAGAAGGACCTGCAACTAAAATATACAACTGTGTACAGGAGGGGGGGTTGGGGAGATAAAGCAGGGGAAAAAAAAATGATTGGCAACAGTCGTTAGTCCAGGTGCCAATCTTTAAAAAAATAAATAAATAAATAAAGTAATTTTATATTCATTAGCATTTAATACTATCTGTCACATTTTATAAACCAAAATTCAAGTCACCCCATAAATTATGCACTGCCAAATGACACTTGTCTTCCTGCATGCCTTCTGGCCTCACATGCTTCCCACTGTGCAATCTCTGGACACTTTGGAGAGAAATAGAGTGAAACCATGTGACCAAGCCTGCTGGCTTCTTCCTAACTCTAACAAACCTCTGTCTTCTCTAACCCTAAATGAAGAATGTAGGTGGCAATATAAATCTAAGGGAGTCCGGCTTCCTTGCAAAGACAAATATTTGAGCCTAGTATGAATAACCCTATTGGAAAGTGAACACAGCAGCCTCCTAGCAGCAGATACCCAAGGGAGAGGAATTTCTTGTGCAGACATTCAAGAACAGTGAGTGGTTTTTCTCTACCAGGAAGTGGCTGGGCCTTTTAAGGTTCTGAGCTGATACTTTGGGTATGAGGCCAGGGAGTCACACCACATTGAAGATCCTGGATGTTCTAGGTGGACAGATCTTGGATAGATTTTTGATCACCTTCCTAAGAAAGTTGAGGGCTTGAGTGAAGACACTGAGGAGCTGGGCACCTTGGTGGAGGCATTTATCAAAATGCTCCAGGAAAGGCCTCTGCCTTCTCATGCCTTTTACCCCCCAAAACTAAAGCACAGGGAGGTGAACTGTCACAGGATTCCTGAAATCCAGGTCTCAAGATTGCGTGATAGCCAAGGATTTGGTTGCAGATTTCATCAGGATGGCAGAAGGAACAAGATCTTCCTTAGAAAGAGAAGTAAGGGTGGAGAACCAACAGAACATGGTCTCATTGGTATATCCAAGTTGTACTGAGTATATGCTACAGTTGGAGCAAGGAGAGAGACTCCCAAGAGGACCATAACACAGTCTGTGAGGCTAGAAACCAAAGATTCCACTCCACAGCAAGGTATTTTTAAGAATAGACGAAAGATCTTTGTGAGAAAGCCTCACAATGCCCGTCTCTGGCATTCTAAGGTGGGCAAGGCCATGGACCATGATGTGGGGGTGGGGAGGAGGGTGGACAAGGAGACAAGCATTGCTCATCCACCAGGAACACGCACAGAGCTGAGATGCTATGAATGCAAGAACATAGGCAGAAACTGTGCTGGAGTTCACTCGCCCTTAGGCAGTAGCAAGCAGTCACAGGAGTCACAGCTCCTGGGCAGAGTGCTACACATTCCTCAGATCTAACAACCTGCAGGAAAGCATGTCTACAGAGATGAGAAAAAAAAGAAAACACAGAAAACTCATGCTCTAATAATCACCATATGGTTCTAGAAAGACTCTATACATGTGAACGAACGTGGGAACATTCTCAGCCTGAGAATATGCATTATTTGACACCAAAGAATTAAAACTATAGACATGTTACAAACATAATAAATGTAAGCGCTTTTAGCAAGTTTGCAGTTTTTTCAACATCAGTAAATTCACACTAGTATGAAATTAAAAATATAGTGAATCTGGGAAAGCCCTTCATAATAATTTTTTTCCTTCTTAACCAATCCAACATTCATATTGGGGAGAAAATCTATATATGTATTAAAGCCCTCAGTTATACCTTAGCTTTTCTTAAATACCGATGAGCTCATCTTCAAGAATATTTCAGAGGAATGAGAAAGAGAAAAAAAAAACCTCTCAGATTTATCATCTGTAAACATAGATAAATACAGGTAGAGAAGGTGCTTCTTTATAATTTCCCTGGAAGGAAACCACACGCTTCCTTTGGGAAATCCAAGCCCCTCTTTGCCTCCTAGAAAAGCATGAGACCCACATGGAAGTTGCTGTGTTTCTTAGAAAACTCAAAAGGAGAGAAGTAATTTTATTTCTCAATCTCCTTCCACAAAGGCTCAGTTGGAGGCAAAATGAAATTTTACCTCTTATGTTCACAGATGATAAACCTGACAGATTCTTTTCCTCTTTCGTCATTCCTCTGAGTTATTCTTGAATGTGAACTCATCAGTATTTAGGAAAAGCTCAGGGATAACTAAGCATTAACATGCATATTTTTTCTAAGTTGAGAAGTATAACATGTTTCATTTAATAAAGAGCTTTCACTAGGAGCACTTATTGGCAGCACTCACCGTCATTCACACAGTTGCAGAATCCACACTGATACCGCCTTCCTCCTTCAATGAACTGCATAAACGGACACATGTAGGCTTTGCACCTGTTGCATCGGACTGGTCCATTCTCTCCGTGATTCACCAAGTAAAGGGGAGTCTGTAAGAAGCAAGTCAAATTAGGAAATAGGTAGGTATAGGACTTCTAGGTATTTTAGAAATCCTACATAATAATGGTAATTTGAAAGTGGTTTAATGGCACTCATTAAGGAACTCTTAACTCTTAGTGTTCACGAGGAGAATAAGGATGCCTCTCTTGATACCCTGTGAACTCAAGGCAATACCCAAACAAAAATTAACTTAAATTTCTATCTCATTTATAAGCATATACGTATATACGTATATTTATGTATATGTGTATGTATATTCACTTGTATGTGTGTGAAGACAGAAAGCGAGAAAACACAATAATGTAATAATACTTAATAAAGCTTATGTTAGAAATGTCCTGGACACCTTGTAACACATATTTTGTTAAGTTTGTTCATTGACTATAAATAAAGAAGTAAATTGTGTCTGATTTTAAAAGCTCTAGTTTGCATAGCCCTGTAAGCTCTAGTTTGCATAGCCATGTGCTGTTTAGATAGTTCCATCAAAGTATACAAAATGTTTCTTCAAAAACGCAACTATCTGAAGAACTATTCAACAATGTTCACTTATTTAGGCAAGGAGGTTGATTCTGCCTTTCTGTTACTTTATCCCATGACAAAATGTTCCACAAAGTCCTCTCAATGTGGCTGGTCATGCTTTGCCAGAACTGAAAAATAAACATTCAATTGCTTCTTCCTCATAAACATGCGTAGAAACCATTACACATTTTTTACAGCTTGAAAGTGAAAAAGCTCAGCATTAGAAGTCTGCCTTGTTTCTCAACTCTCCCAGCTTTCAGAATAAAACCACAAAGATTCTTCTTGTTTTTATAAATCTCCTTAAAGATAACATTTCTAGAAAAGCTTGAGAATTACTGTTTGGCACATCAACTAAATTTTTCTTTAAGAAAAAGATGTAAATAAAGCAGACTGCTTTTTAACGGAGGCCTGAAGAGCAGGAGGAAGGTGGCAATGGGAGTGCGGGAGAAATAAGGCCATTTTCTGCTCATCTTAGAAAACCAAGATCTACTGTTTGTCCCTGCCCAGATGTTCAGTGCGAAAACTAATCCACCACTGAGGTTTCAGAAATGAGTTGTGAGGTCTCAGGGCAGGAAAAACCAAGTTTAGTATAATACATAAAAGAACCAGGGAAAGGATAAAATAAAAAATCACATTCACAGTCACTCCCCACTGCCTCTGCACTGCGTGCCCCCCACCTCTTGCCTCAAGGAAGCCAGGAGATGGACTGGATTTTCTTGTTTATGGTCTCTTCTGGTCCCTAGCATGGGTGCAGCTCTGGTGCCCCACTGGGAGGGTTGTGACAAGGATTAAATGAAGAATATATGTGCAATACAGACTATTACGCCTGGCATCAAATTATTGGATAAATGGTAACTGTTATCATATCTGTACAGAACAACCTTTCCTCTCTCAAAACCACTCAGCTCAGGAGTGATTATACTTAGTAGGAAAATTATAGTTTGATAGGTTTTGAGATAGGCTGGAGTTTCTAAAGGCATTTCATTATATAAATATTTAAACTAGCTAACATTTTGTGATAAAATCTTATTGTAAAAATGACCTAGAAGACCGGGAATCTGCCTTTCAGGAGATTTTGATACAATCTAATGGCTAAAAGTTGAGGGGTCCAGTAGATTTTAAAAACACTCTTGGAATTTGATTTATGTACACACACATTCGAATATTGACATATACAACATTTTTTAATACAAACTTTTTGTTTGAAAGGCATAAAGTGACAAAAGCTTGTCCTCTTTAGTTGGTAATTATAAGAAATAATCTGAGGGGACAAAAGGGAAGCAAACAAGAAGGTGTGCGTGCGGATGCAGTAGTAGTCTACCAGGCAGTCTAGACAAGGAATACAGAATTAGGGTAAGACGTGCAAGACACAAAAACGTGAAGATGAAGGAGCTTTCTCTGGATCAAAACTCCACTCATCAACCGTGCCTTTGGTTGCTGTTCTGTTCTACAGCTTCCACTCCTGAGGTCAGGAGATGCTTTCAAGAGTTAAACAAGGGAGAAAGTCTGCACTTGGCATTCACTCCAGCCCAGTTTGCTTCTCCCATCCTTTATTTTCAAAGAGTTCAAAGGCTATAATCAATTCCCTGGGAGATGTTAGAAACAAAATATGAGGCAATTATTTGCTAGACAAGGCAGAGGTAATGGAAGGAAGACTAACCTTATTCTTACTGATATGATTTACTTAAAAGCAGGCCCAGCCTAAAATTACTGTGAAATTGTGGGCAGCTAACACCTAAGCATTTCCAGTCCTGGCAGATGCAAACTTGCAGATCCGAAATGAATGTCTAGTAACAACCTGGAGTCGGGTAACGACTACATCTAGGCTGTTAAATACACTTACATTTTTTCTATTTTCACTCTTTTGAAAACCGGATGATGGAGAGGTAAGTAAGGACTTCAGACAACTGAGGTGACAGTAAAGAATGTTAAAAGCTTTTTAACTGTTTACATTTTCTTTTGGGGCAACAGGAGAAGGGTTTCTACATTACACTGTCTTGTTTCATCTCTCTCAGGCTATGTTGAAAACCACCAGAGATTGTTCTCTGCTCTCTGCAGACGACTGCTTATCTACTCTACGGTAGTATGCATGAGCTCATAAACAGCTAATCTCATGTTCTTCTGAGCTCAGCTTTAGTGCATGTAGCTTTTTAAAAAAAATCAAATTACTCTCCAAAAAGTTCCCTAAGTTGCTTTTTTTTTTCCCCTTACCAAGGGCATTGCATCATACTTACTTAAGGAATATTTTCAAATTTTATAATTTTGTTTATAAATGTACTTTAATCTTTTGGCCTCTAGTATTCCTGCCTGCTCTTTCTTTTCTGTTCTTCTCTTAAATGGAAAAAGTGAAAGGATGGAGAGCCTAGCTCTAAAAGCCTCATCTGGTTATTCTTGGTTCTGGTCCTGTGTGGCATGAGTTTATACAGCACGAAAGTGACGAGGAAGCTAAGGAAAGAAGGAGGAGAATAATATTTGAATCTTTTGCTTGTATTTTTACATTACCAGGGCTATGCCAAATACTTTATTGGTACTAATTTTAATGAAGATGCTTTAATTGAATAAAATGTCTCCCTTTTTTGTGCATGTATAACGGTCGATTTTGGAACCCAAGCAAGAATATAATCTGCTGAAAAATGAGGTTCAGTGTTAAGATGATATAAGTGATTTAAAAAACAAAACAAAACAAAAAACTTGAGGTTATTTTTCCATGTAAAAGGAGTAGACAACAAGACGAATCACTCAGTAACTCCTTGGTACTACTCATACAATTTTTAAAGTTTTCTGATTTTAATACAGTATCAGTTTTCCAAGCCTTCCCAGCATTCTCTCACATAACTTTAACATCTATGCAGTCAGTGCCAGGTATCCTGCATGCCTCGGTGAGGCCTACAGTCCAGTGGGGGAGAAAGACATTTATCAAACAAGTGAGTAAACATGCAATTAAAAGAGAAAAGCAGGAGTAGAAAGAATACTTGGGAAATCATCATTAATAAAAGTTCTCTTCAGCTTAAAAGGCAATGTTAACCTATTCACCGATTGTATTTCCAAAGCAAAAATAGAAAAATGAAGCACAACATAGAAAGATCTCACTTGGAGAATTTTTGTAAAGTTTGTAGCCTACATATTTTTGTTTGGGCATCTATACAACAAAGAAAAGTCTGAATACACAAGTGTTGCTATATAGTCTCTGTTTCAGAAAAGTGAAGAATAAGAGAAGGCAGTTAAATACTGAAAACTGATTATACCAAATCTGGAAAGCTGAAGAAAATACGACTGTGTTTTTGTAGCATAGATCCAGTAGGTGGCACTGTGCAACTAAAAACCAAAACCAAACTATAACAGTAATGCCCTCGTCAGGTAATAAAATACTCAAGATAATTATGCTACATTCATTTTATGTAACTATAATAATATTTAACTGGATTTATGTCAGATATTACCACCACAAAATTAAGAAACCTATACTTTTCTTGAAAAAAGCCAATGGTTAAAAGATAGTCTGGATGAAACAAAATGAGATTAAACCTGAAATACAGGCTATTTTAAGCATAAATTGTATAGAAATCACAGAATGTACCAAATTTACTGAAGATAATAGCCAATAAAAGCTTATTTTAAAAGTTTCTAATCTTCTACCAACTTTTCCTTGACTATATGTAAGAAAAGAGAGGCATTGTTGGGAATGGCAGCCCCAAAGGACAGCAGGCAGCCTAAAGGGGGTCTGGGAAGCGAAGGGCAGAGGAAGCTACTGCTCCTGTGGCCAGCATCCACCTCCTGCTCTCCACATCAGCATCCCAGGTCCAAAATGACAAAGCAGAGACAGGCAGGCCTGAAGAGTGGCACTCAGCAGTACACTGTGAGGATGAAATGATTTTCTAAAGCAAACATCCTTCTTCCTGTTGGAACATCAAATCACAGGCCATGGTGTGGATGAAGAGAGAGGCAAGACACAGTGGCCAGTCCTGAGCTTTCAGGAACACGTTGACTTGGCCACATTACACCTGCCTGTATCCATGATGTTGCTCAATGAAAACTGTCCCCATGGCCCCTTTCTTCTCCTGTTTGCTCCACTACCCACCTCCTTATTTCTCAGCATCACAGTTCACCTGAGTGCTAACACACGCACACACACAGACTCACTCCTTAACCACCTACTCTCCTCTGTCTTCTCATACTTGTTCACTAATTTTGAAAAAAAATACCTATTTTCCATTTTCAACGTACACTTCTCTTCCCTTTCTTCTCTTCTTTTAGTTCCTTCATGAGAAGTCTCCAGGAAAGCCATTGCTGTCCTAGGACGATACGGTTGCCCCCACGTGACCACCACTCTACTTAACTAAGTGCCTGAAAGAAATATCTCAGCTAAATAGTTCCTTGCAATGAGAGCGAAAGTTCTGCCTACAGTGGTCCCTAAATCAGATCACAAGATTTACAGCAAGATGACTCCCAAAATGTGACACGATCCTGCAAC